GGTTTCGGGGAAGAGAGGCAGCAGACTTCATGAGACCTGGATTCTGGGACCAGAGCCCTCCTGCAGGATTGTGAGTATTAATGCGCTAGAACTTGTTAAGTGGTTAGTGTGCCCCACGTGCAGAGAGGTGAAAGATAGGGTAATGTAATTCACTTGCTGCGTACGGTATTAGAGCACTTGTCCCCTGCAATGCCTTCTGAGATCCGATTGTCACAATACTTTAATTCCACAGGCCCGTGGTCGGCACAGCCTATCCAACACCGAACGCTTCACACACAACCCCTTTTATAATGCGGCGCCGACTTCATAGCGGCAATACTGCAAAAGATCTAATTATTCCAGTAATGTTTTCTCTTTTTGGGGTTACATTCTGCATGTTTGGGTCACGTTGACGTGACACCCATCATTGTCTAGGACTTCAGCGATGGGATCAAGAGCTGGTGTGGTGCAGTCTCCCTCCTTGGGAAATGTTCCAATGGGCCTAGCATGTGAGATATCTATGCTGGGGCTCCATGTGTCTTTGGAAACAAAGTAGATGATTTTTAAAGTGGACCTTCTTTTGCTAGTTTCGTCGATAGGGAATCAGTAGATCGTCCATGAAGGGGGGAGGTCTTGGATCAGGACAAAGGTAAGCAATTTCCCTGAACTTTCAAAAATTGGCTTCAGTGTTTTATAACGTTTGCGAGTATTTTAGTATCACATTTTCCGGAGAGAGGTCCTTCCCTTTTCGCATATTTAGCTATAATTTGGGGGGTTTATAAAGTTTAGGGGGGAAAATGCAGGTTTAAGTATGACCAGGGGTGGGGGCCAGAGGGGAGGACAAAAGGTCCCCCCACGTTCTCATTTAGGTCCCCCACCCGCCACCCAGGGGTGGGGGCCAGACAATAGGTCCCCCCCCTTCATTGTTATTTAGGACCCCCACCCACCTCTTAGAGGTGGGAGCTTGGGGGGAGGACAATAGGTACCCCCTCATTGTTATTCAGGGCCCCCACCCACTGCTCTGGTGTCTTTTATTGAGGATTGAACCTAGAAACTGTTAGAACCTTTTATTCTGCCAGGCAGATGACCCTCGGCCCCAACAACCTCTATGAGAGGATTGATTGGCCTTCTATGGCTGGCTTCGAAAGGATTGTCTTCCAGGTCTAGATTGCCTTGAGTCTCATAAGAGGATCTCCTGTTGCTCCTGCTACATGTCAATAAGGCTTTACTGCCTTCTGCAACCTTTTTAATTCAATCATCTAGCTGACATCCGACTAGCATGTCACCCTGAAAAAGCAATGAACAGAGACTGTTCATGGATACAATGTTTGCATTCCAGGCCTTAAGCCAGAGTGCTCTACACTAAGCTACATTCAGGGCCATAGATCTAGCAATGCAGCTAGATCCACAGATGCATCAGAGCAAAAATCTGCAGGTAGATTAATGTCTTCCACAGTTCTGAGATGTGATCTACTTACTCCAGCCTTGATATCGGCTTCTAGATTCTCCACCCATTGTTTAAGGGCACTGAAACCAAAGTTAAGGTTGTCGCTGGTTGCAGACTAGCCAATGCTGTAACATAATCCTTGAACAGATTAGTATCAATTATTTTGCCATCCAATCAGAGTGCGCTGACAGATAAATGAAGAGACTGACAGGAAAGTCTCTACATTTACCTGTCACAGCACTCTGATTGGTTGGCTTGAAATCCACCAATCAGAGTGCTCTTTGTCATTTTACACAGCGTGGGAAAGTTCTTTGGAATTTTCCCACGCTGTGTAATTTGACTCATAACTCATTGATTGGTGGATTAAGTAACCAATCAGAGTGTTATGAGTCAAATTACACAGCGTGGGAAAATTCCAAAGAACTTTCCCACGCTGTGTAAAATGACACAGAGCACTCTGGTGGATTTCAAGCCAACCAATCAGAGTGATGTGGCAGGTAAATGTAGAGACTTACCTATCAGTCTCTTCATTTACCTGTCAGAGCACTCTGATTGGATGGCTTAAACCCACCAATCAGAGTGCTCTGAGCCTAATTGCAGGGCTCATTCTGCGCTGAGTCCTCCATGGGTGAAGATGGATTATTTTTTTTCCAAAGTGCGTCGGTTATTATGGCTTTTTATTTGGCCTTTTTTGTGGCTGAAAAAAGATTTTAGAAGAACGAAATCATCAAATGGTGTTTCTTCCCCCCCCCCCCAGTACTTACTTAATGGTGCCACCCCCTCATTATTTTAGGGTAAGGGGAGTAGGTAGGGGTTAGTTCTGTTTTTTTTGGGGGGAGGGGTGTGACTTGGGTCACTTGGGGGAGGGGGGGGGGTTAATTAGGTCCCTCCCTTATTAGTATTTAGTGCCCCCACCCACCCCTTAGGAGGGGGGGAGGACATTAGGTCCCCCCCATTCTAGTCTAAGGCTCTCACCCATCGTTCAGGGGTGACGGCCAAGGGGTAGGACATAAGGTCCCCCCCCCTTATTAGTATTTAGGGCCCCCACCCTCCGCTCAGGAGTGAAGACATTAGGGGTCCCCCCCTATTCTAATTTAGGGCCCCCACCCACCGCTCAGGGGCGTTGCTAGGGGTGAGCAGAAGGATTGCAGCTTTCTTGTCGCCTCAGTGCAGCCCCACTGTACCCCAAAATAATAATACAAGTAATTTGTGAGTGTGTATGTCAAATCAGTGAGAATCTGTGTTTGTCAGTGAATGTCAAATCAGTGAGTCTGTCAGCAAAGTCTGTGTGACTGTCAGTATGTATCTGCCAGTAGGAGTGTGTCAGTGAGTCCATGTGTCTCAGAGTGTGTCTATCAGTGAATGTCTGTGTTAAACAGTGCATGAGACAATAACGGTCAGTGAGTGCATGTTTTTTGTCAGTCTGCACATCCACACTGTCATCCCCACATTGTCAACTTCATTCACTCTGCTTCCCGTTACCATTCTACACCTTGACCCCACCCCCCAACTGTCATCTTCCTACACCCTGCCCCTCTATACGGTCACCTTCCTACACACTGTCCCACAGGTAAGAGGCAGGAACGGGAGGAAAAAGCCCAATTTAATTTAAACGGCTCACCCCCAGCACTTATCCAAGACAACACTCACATTCACTACACAAACACACAGACTGTATACAATACACACTACATGCACTACATGCACAACATGGAAGAAAAGACATGAAAGGCAGGGGAACAGAGACATGGATGGAAGGGGGTTAAGGGGCAGAAAATACATGGATTCTTCAAACCATGAGGTAAATGCAAGCTGATATATATATATCTCACACACACACACACACACACTTTATAACTGCCTCTTCCCTCCTCCCCCAGATTTTTGTCCCTGGCCCAACATGTACTCACACTAAACATGAATCCTAGAGACACCACTGCTCTGTAACTAAACCACAATCCAGAAAAAGACTTCCTTATCTAAAAAGTATGCATGCAGCTCAGCCACTGACTGCACTGAATGATGTGAACAACAACACAACTTGCATTATAAGGAGTGGACACCCAGGAAAGCATATAGTAACAATATCACTACTGGCTTATAGTTTGTCTGCAGCCAAGTTGTGAATTAAAAAACAGTTCATGCAGTGCTGTTTGGACTGAGTGCACACCTTTGATTTAAATAAAATAAAAGTTGCTTAGGAGAGAGGCTTATGATGCAGCATTTTGCTAAACATTTATTTTGTGGAATAATGCATGCAAAAAAAAACCCCCAGCATATTAAGTAGGCCAAATTCGATCAAATGCATTAAAGTTGAATTGGTATTTGGAGTGTCCCTTTAAATGCATGCATGTTTTCATAGTAGGTATATCTATTAAACACAGTTTTTTTAATTTGAGCAGTGGTGTGTCTCTTTAAAAATAATTGCAGGTTTCTGGAAATTTGATTCTAAAAGATAAGCAAGTTTCATTTGATAGATCTAGTTTTCTAATTTTCCATAAATACATTCTGTACCAACTACTATAACACTTTCACTTTGTAAGGCCCCAAAACTTTGAGTCAGACAGATGAAACTATAATGTCTTTGGTCAAAAATTATTGAGTGAATATTCAGTATTTACCGCTCATTTTCCCACGCACACAAACTTACATTGACGTTAATAGGGTCAGGACATTAATTCAAAAACGTATGCTCTTCCGAACAACATTCAATCTATACATTATGTTATATTGGGGGGGGGAGGGGGGGTCTTAGAAGGAATGTCAGGCACTTACCTGAAACTCAGCTGTTGCCCCTCCTTACAGAGCAGCTCTGGTAGACCATGCTCCTCCTATAGTCTTCACTGATTTGCCCTGCTTGTGTGCACTTACCTACGCAGGGCTAACTTCCATTAATCTAACCCGCTGACTTCTGAACAGAGCAACAATCACTCCATTCCTATGAGCTGAGGCTCAGTGGAAAGTAGAAACAACTCCTGTAGAAGAACTCTTTGGCTCTCTGTCAATCATAGAGTATATGCCAAAGAATAGATTGCCAGATGGAAGAAAAAACTATTTTTAAATTGGAATAAAAAAAAAAAAAAAATTGGCGCTCCACAATCAAGTCCGCTTAAGTAAAAGACAGATGAAATAGCATTATGTCCTTAGAAGTTTATGAAACCATAATAAAAGAGAAACAAAAACGGATAGTGTAGTAAACCTTGGGATGATGAAAAAAAGAAAATTGAGGAATACGAATTACTTTTTGGGAGTTGGATTCAAGTTTATTTTTTCTTATTGTTTGATAAACTTCAAAGAACATTGAAGGCGCTCCACTGATCATTCTATTTTTAAAATTGTTTTGCTCCTAATCTATATGAAAACAGAAGATGGACCTCTGGTGAAGACATGGTGGAGCAGAATTGGAGGGTCAGGTAAGTTGCCTATAAGAATGCAGAAAACTCTTTCAAATAGGAAACAAGTGCCACAGTTTGTGCTGGGCTTGACAGAATCCCTTTGGTAAGGTGCTATGCTATATTTTCCCAGAATGGGTAAATCAGTTTTGTGAATAAATTAAACCAAAAACCATAAAAGTCAACACAGATGAAACCTTTAATGATTTAACAGAATAATTTAAATTGTATTAACTTACTTGACTTTTTCAATCATTCTGCTTCATGTAGATTTAAAGAGTAGAAACAGATATGTATAAAAAAACATTTAACCTGTCACTTATTTTATTTACTGTTGGTCACATTGCACTCTCTAGCTAGCTTATGTCCATCATTTGCATTTGTAGAATATAAAATAAGTATATAAAATCGACTCATGAATTCATCAGTAAAATCTCAAATTTTACCAGATGCAGTAAAATATATAAATTTGAGGGTGAAATAAAACAAAAACCAGTAATGATAAATTAATCCCAACATGGAAGTTATACAACCAAAAGGTTTACAAAATATTGCAGGCAGACTTGCAAAGTGCATTTAACTTTTTCAAGAATATTACTTTTTATTAAGGCAAACAAGGTAAAATCGTAACCTCATTTATAGGAAAACAGGTACATGTCATCTACATTTTCCTCTGATAAATATGAAACAATTATGTTTCCAGTTCTACCTTTCTAAAAAATATGCTGAAGACTGAATATGTAATAAATATATACAATATACTGCCAAGTAATGAATATAAGTTTTGAAAATACAAAACCAGTAGAAGTAAAAATAATGCAAAACATAAGAAGCCTGAACGATTTAATCCAAATTGTTGTATGATAAATATTTCAATTATTTTATATAAAATTAGGAATTTTGAGACAAGGCATTGCATTTTGTATCATTTTTATTGAGGTTTGTAGTTTTCTATTCCCAACCAGCTCAGAGTGACACCGGCAGATATCACTTCATGACTCAGGTTAGTAGATCTGTGTTGGTGAGTATTTTCTCTCTAAAAGAAGCTAGATGTAGTAAAGAAACTATGTGAGATTGTGGTGTGACTCTTAAATTACTAGTATCATTGTTTACTTGCAAGAGGGTGTTGTGTGTACTCCCCCAGATATTTAATCCCTGTAATTTTAATTAACATGTTGCAATAATCACCTAAAACCAGCCAATGACAAATATAACTATATCCAAGTTAGTTCTAAATGACTCAACACATCTGCTTAATTTTCAAGGAGTACTTAATTTTTGAGTTGCTAAAAGTGTTAGCAGCTAAATTTAGTAGCACAACAGAATAAAAAAAAAAAGAAAAAAATCTCTCATGACCACAATAGTATGTCCACTCGTATGTGATTTTAACAAGAGTAATCTGCTAGATCAAGATGCTTAATCCATCTAGGCACTTAAGAGTGCTGTTTATTCTACAGTTCCAATAATAATATACTATGATACAATAAGAAGGGAATGATTATCTTAACAGCATTAAATAAAGAATGCATTTAAAAAAAGTAAATGGGAAAAAAAAAAAATACAAACCTAGACATGCCCTATTTATGCAGATCTTTAAATTCAAAGTACAGCAGAAATGGCTAAATGAATAAACCTCATTCATGGTACATCACACATAAGCTCAAGAATCCATGTAATGCTTCACGCACGACACCATGAGCACTGTATTACAATATTTTCCAATGGAAAGATCTGCAAAAGGTTTTTTCCTTTATCAGCTTTGTTTCAAAGCACCTGGACATCATAAAGCATATTAAGTTATCTCGCTCTCTTTTTTTTTAAAATGCATTAAAATGTTCTCCGGTACCTAGAATGTCACGTTATCCATCTTTACTTGGAATATAGTTTTCAAAGCGCTAAAATCTGTGTTGATAAAAATGTAGAATAAACTTTTTTTTATTTATTTTTTTACCTTTTACACGGTTTAAATCTTAGCATTCCTTGATTATGGTAAATCATAATAGGGCTATAATTCTGTTTTCTTTGCAGCAGTCTTATGTAATAATACAGAGTATCTAAATAACCCACTCATGTACCATTTATTGCAAGTATACAAGGTGATATACATTAATGATAATGATAAAATAAACAACCTTCCTAGCAGGCTTTTGAATGTACCATTAGTAAACTACAAGGGTAAGAAGAATATTGCTTGCGTGTTAGATGCCAAGTTCAGCCCAAAAATGTAATAACACATACACCGATTCATACATAATACAGGAGGACTTCCCATAGGCACGAAGCATGCATTCAGAAACACTTTGCAGTACTCCCTTAAAGGCTGTATCAATCCAGCAGCTTCATGTTCGGATTCAATTAATAATGTCCATCTTCATGCTCATACAAATGAAACATACTTTGGAAAATGTCATTAACTGCACTAAAACAAGAGGTTGTGGTAACAATGTCTCTAAGAATCAGGAGGTACCCTGACGTTTTTGCTGTTGACTTCTGATGACATCCAACTGTTTTTTGCATTGCTGATAGTAAGTTGATAGGCTTTTGTTCTCATCTAAAAGCTTTTTGTGCTCTTGTACAAGTCGAGATGTGTTTTGCTGGTCTTTTTCATCCTGGTCTAATTCTGCTATTAGTTCTTGCCTAAATAGAAACATAGTAATTAGCTGTGAATTTAGAAAGTAGAAAACAAAGTATGTCATACTTTGGGGGGGAGCGGGGGTGGGGGTTGGGGGGGGAGATAAAGCTCCACATGGAGGCCACAATGTTAGGGATATCAATTTTTTAATTTCTTCACAATAACCATCAATACAAACCTAACCAGTGCAGCAGATATGAATTGTATATGCATTAGGAAAGGAACTACACATTCATTGTAGATTTGGGTGAATATTTCCCTTTTTTTGTGTGTATGACAAGTTAAAAGACAACTAAACACTTTGCTGAAGTTACATGTGAAAAGTGAATCCTCTTTTTAACCCCTTAAGGACTGAGCCAAATGTACACGTTTTGATCAAAATAAAATTTAAACAAAACTTGGAATTTGACGGTCTGTTCAACCGTAATTTACCTCTTTCATATTAAATGCACCCACACTTATTATATATAATTTTATTCAGGGGAAACAATTTAAGATAAATAAAATATAAAAAAAAAAGTGAGAAATTAAGAAAAATTGTATTTTTTTTAGTTCTGCATGACATTGCAACTGCGAATGTCATAATACTGATTTGCTTTTACTCAATAAAATACACATTTGTATTCAGCGACGTCTCACGTGTAAAACGGTACCCCCTATGTACACGTTTTATGGTGTTTTGGGAAGTTACATCTTTTTTAGTAGTCACTTAGTCACAAACACTGGCCAAAGTTAGCGTTAATATTTGTTTGTGTGTGAAACATGCAAAAAACTAATTTGAACACCAATTTTGGCCAGTGTTTCTGACTAAGTGGCTACTGGGCTACCAAACGGTCTCAAAGGCAACATAACCAGTCTGGCGAATTTCAATATGAAAAAACTGAAACACAAGCCTTATATTTAATGCTGTAACTTTTGAAAACACCATAAAACCTGGACATGAGAGGTACGGTTATACTCTGGAGACTTAGCGGAACACATATTAGGGTTTCAAAACAGTAAAACGTATCGCAACAATTATATCATCTGTGTAAGTGCCGTTTGTGTGTGAAAAATGCAAAAAACTTCTTTCACTAATGATATCGTTGTAATACATTTTACTGTTTTGAACCATTAAGATTTGTGTTCAGCGAAGTCTCCTGAGGAAAACAGTACCCCTCATGTACAGGTTTTATGGTTTCTTGGAAAGTTACAGAGTTAAATATAGTGCTAGCAAGTTAAATTCTCTGGACTTTCTGCCTAGGTTATCAGGCAAGTCCCGCAAATTGTAATTAAATTACTTAATTATGTAAAATTATTAGTTCGCTTTTAAAATTATATCAACGTTTCAGTCTGTTACACACAGAACAAAATATATATAGTCTAAGTGTATTTTGATTATTTATATATATATATATATATATATATATATATATATATATATTTTAATATCAAAATACAGTTAGAACGAAATTACACATTATATATAAATAATGATATATATTTAATCATTCGACGTGTATTTTGATTATATATATATGTTAAGGTGAGTGCAGCCAACCCCCTCTTGAGATTATATATATCTAGCCAACTCCTTTGTTTTGCACCCCTCCCTGTCACAGGTGCCTCATCCTTGTACTGCAGAGAGCCCCAGATGGAATTTTTTCCCCCAAGTAGGTTAATCTCATAAGAGCAGACATTAGGCTGTTAGTGTAGGACCTGCCAAGGATGGGGTACACTGACATTGTGGCAGGCTTATGCAATGTATGATCATATAATGTAACTAAACCCCAATTAGTTTTGCCTAGATTAGGTGTTTAAAAAAAAAAAAAAATCTTTCAACATTGAAGTTGCTGTTTAGTGGATAGGTGAGTGCGCTGGATCTTGTGTATTGTGTAATATATACACATACATATAACATGATCCTTGCCAGACCAGCACCGGGTACCACAGGACTACACCACCAGGAGTGCAAGTATATATATATATATATATATATATATATATATATATATATATATATATATATATATTTATAATTTTAAACTGTTATAAAAAAACCTTTTTTTTTTTTTTAAACGTTATTTCACTGCAATGGACGGCTATTCCGTCCGTGTGATAGTGAGGTCCTCGCAAGGACCTTGCGATCACATGGCCCAGGAGGGCCGGATCGGCAGTAGTGGGACTCCCTCCTCTTCTAACCATGTCCAGACTTTTTGTGGCTGTGCAATCACAGACTTCCCAATGTAGCTCAATGAGACATTTTCGCAAGGCAGGTGCTCTGAGCAATTGCTGCCTCTTGAGATTAGCTCCACTGGGCTAACCAAACCAGGATGTAACAGGACCTGTTGTCTGCTTGAAAGTCACGGGAGTGTAAGGTTAATTTGTAAAAGTGCAAATTACTATTGAAATATGCACTTTTGGTAAAATGTAAATAAGAGGATACACTTCACACACAAAGCTTTTTAGCAAGCTAAAGTGCATTAGGGGTCAGTATTACTGTAAAATGCAGATTTTTTTTTAAATTTGCAGTATTACTTTAAAATAGGAGACTGGCAAATGTCATGTGTAAGACGTGAGACGTGTTCTAGGGAAAAAATAAATAATAACTGGGACCTGTTTGGGGGCTTATTGATATGAGACAAATTTCATAGTATTTTTAAAGGATTGTCATTGATTTTTGCACCACTTTTGTTGTATTAACAAGCTATTAAAATGTATTTGTCCTTTCACTTGTGTTATTCTAATGTGTTTTGCTCAAAATAGTGTTATTTCATGTAGCACTGCTCAGAAGAAAAAGAAAATATATATACACACACATCCAAAACATTGAACAGTTTACTTTACTTACTTTCGTTGTAATAATAAAGCAATTTCTGTCTGAACTTTCATATATTCCTGAGCCATTTTGCAGTGCTGCTCAAAGACAGCCATAGATTCTTTGGAGTTTGGACATGGTGCTAGAGGCTGAAAATAAATCAGACATGATAAAAACTAATCAACAGATATCTCACTATATATGCTGTTAGAATGTGCTGAATATATTTATACCTTTAAGCGTTTAAAAATAAGTGGAAATCCAAGCTCTGGAAAAAGTTACAGCAGGCACTGATTCTAAACTTGACAGACCTAGTTTAATGTAGTTAATTCAGCATAATTATGCATTTAAAATGTGCAAAACCAGCCCTTTCTTTGATAAAAATCTAACCATAACATTGTACAACAATAATTTACATAGTGACGAAACAATAAAGACAAGCAAAGGCTTAAGTTAAGATATGGGTGTTTAAAAAAATGAATAAGTGTATAAATTAATCTAGAACACATCTGTGCTGTAAGAGATACATTACATGACTACATTTAAGTGCCAGTTGCGTTTGGAGCTGCAGGAATGCTCATAAATGGGGATAGAAACACATATTGCACACTTTTCCAGATTTTTTCTTATTCTTCACTCAAGGACTGGTTAGATAACAGTAATTTAAAAGGACACTGAGCACCAAAACCATTACAACTGAATGCAGTGGTGATGGTGCATAGGGGATCTGTCCCTTTTTTCGCTGGCAATGTAAAACATTGCCATTTCTTAGAAATGACAGTTTACATTAGAGACACACGTTTATGAGCTGTCACAAAGCCAAAGTGTCACTTTCAAGAAACAAACATGTATTCCTAGTGTCCTAACCGCGTAGGTTACTGCCACCCCGCCATGTGCAAAACAAAATATATTCATGTTTTACTCACGACAATCTCCATGATGCTGGTTCCATCTCCTTAGCTGAGAGCATCAATACTGATGCTACTTTAAAGGGACACTATGGTCACCAGAAAAACTACAGCTTATTGAATTTGTTCTCGTGTGTAGAATCATTACCTTCAGGCTTTTTGCTGTAAACACTGTCTTTTCATAGAAAATGCAGTGTTTACATTACAGCCTAGTGATAACTTCACTGGCCACTCCTCAGATAGCTGTTAGAGATCCTTCCTGGGTCATGGCTGCCTAAAATGCATCCAAACATTCAGTATCTTCTCCCTCTGCATGCAGACACTGAGCTTTCTTCAGAGATTCACTGATTGGTTTAATCTCTGAGGAGATGCTGATTGGCCAGGGCTGTGTTTGAATCATGCTGGCTCTGCCCCTGATCTGCCTCTTTTTCAGTTTCAGCCAATCCTATGGGGAAGCACTGTGATTGGACCAGGCTACCACTTCTGATTATGTCAGCAGACTGCTTGATTTTCTTTTTAGGTAAAGAGCATGCAGAGTTACAGCTTCTGGCTTGAATACAGTAAGATGTTGCTATATTTATGGAGACATGAAGGGCCCAGGGGGGCTAGATGGTGGTTTTAACACTATAGGGTCAGGAATACATGTTTGTGTTCCTGACCTTATAGTGATCCTTTAAGCTTCGGCATTAACAAATGGTTCATCCCCAAAGTCTGGACAATGTCGCTCGACTGCTCTGGCCCGGTACTGAAGGTATTGACCTAGTGTTGTGGCCAAAACTGAAGAAACTGGGGGGAGAGCCTTGCCGGAGGGATACAAAAGAAGGTCCTGGCTTGCCAGCTGAATTTAAATGTTGTTGATAAAGGCTATTTTTACATCTATATAGCCTGACGTCTGCACTTCAGTTTGGAGCGGTTACAGTTAGAGCAGACTCATCTGCTCTATATTTGTGAGTGGAAACTTTTATAACTAAAGCACTATTATTGTATATTACAATATCACACTATATGTTTTTTTTCCTTGTATGGTCTCCTCATTTTAATACTGCATTGAGAGATAAAATAAAGATGGTATCATGCAAGTTGCAATTAAGTAATGCTACAAAGGGAAATCCTGCATGTACTTGAATGTTCACTATTTGCACACTTTAAAAGAAGCATTTAAGTTTGTTTGCACTTAAATAAGGCAATTTGCACAATAATTTTATTTTAAATTTTTAGTCGCAGACGCAGCACACCTTTATTTTTATTTTTTCTAACAGAAGTGTATTTGTTTGGGTTGACACTTTTTAATTATTTTGGGACAAATATTAGAGCGCTTTTTTAGCTTGTTATAGTTTCTAACCTACGCAACTAGGAAATAATCATCCCTCACTGGACCCGAACAAAAACTATTTACACAAAAAACAAGCCTCTGCTACCGATAGTGAGTGCTAAAGAAAATACACACTATAAAAAAAGCCCTCTCTGAAGCCTTTTTTTTTTATATTTAGCACTTTCGAATTTACAAGTTCTCTTTTTTTTTTGCTATTCTCATTTAATCAGATTACCCAATGAAGATATTTCAAAAATTTAATTTTTGTTTGTCCCCTCATTCTATTTCTATAAAAAAAACATAACTTTTATGGTCTTTAAAAGCAAGGGTTTATTCTGTATTTGGTTTCTATTTAATTCCATTATACATAGGATATGTTTAACTACATGCTTCTCTAGCTCTCTCCAAAACATAATTTGAACTAACCTGTAACTGATGATCCAGAGTAAGGTATGCCATAGGTATGGAGTTATCTGATCCATTGGTATCTGAAACATTTAATATAGTGTTAAGTTATATTTTATAATATATTAGATACAATGCTTCAAAACATATTGGAGTTTGACACTTAACAGGAATTGCTGCTGCACCCTTTTAAAATTCTATACATATGTAAAGGTAAAGGTTAAAAAAAAAAAAAAAAAATACAAAAGTAACGATTAGAAATGTCAAGAGATTAAAATACATTTAAGATTATTGACTATATATATTACTAATGTTTACTCTATACTTTCTTTTGTAGTAAGGTTTAAGGAAACATTACCTGAGGATTCATCAGTGCCCCATGGATGGCCACGTGGTGGCTTATCAGGGGTTGGACCCGAGGTAGTGATCATTCTCACACTTGGGCTAGAGGATCTGCTGCTGTTTCGGCTCTCCTAAGCATCAAATTATGGAGAGGGAGAATATCAGACAAAATAAAAAGAACATGCTTACTTAAGCAAATATGGATTTCTAAATCAGCAAACGATACTGTGGGAGGGTGTGTACGTATGTGATATAAATAAATATATACATGCAGTCTGTTTCCATAAAGAGCACTGTCTACCACTGAGCAGGGTGGACGTTTGTGCCAACAAAATTAACGAAAGCACCATGACTATAGCAGGTTTCTCTTGGCTAGACAACAGCCACTTTCTCTCACTACCACCACAGTGAAATTCTGGTTTCTCCATCTACATTCGTAAAGTACACTGAACCAATTTCATATACAAGAATGATCCACTCACTGAAAATAGCAGTGACTATCAGCAGTTCAGTCAGCCTGCATACTTCACATTAAAGCATGGTGATGCCCTGGATAAGATAAAATGGCTACTAACTTAAATATAATATGCGGCCTTAACCGCTTTCTAGGAGTATTCAGTTTAAGAAGCTCAGAAATGTAAGAACTGCTTTATTATTATTATTATTGCCATTTATATAGCGCCAGATTCCGGAACCCATTACAAAATTATGAGAGAGGGAATTTAACTATAAATAGGACAATTACAAGAAAACTTACAGGAACGATAGGTTGAAGAAGGCCCTGCTCAAACGAGTTTACAGTCTATAGGATTTGGGGTATAAGACACATTAGGACAGGAAATATCAATCAAATAAGGTGGGAGTGAAACAGAGATTAGAGTGCTGCCCTTTAGGAGAGAGCAAGAGACAGGTATGTAAGGTAGCAGTTACTCTGGGAGGCCATAAGATTTCCTAAAGAGATGGGTTTTAAGGCACTTCTTAAATGATTGAAGACTAGGGGAGAGTCTGATGGCGATAGGCAGGCTATTCCATAGGAAGAGCCACCCGCGAGAAGTCCTGCAAGCGCGAGTTGGCCATACGGGTGTGAGCAACAGACAGGAGAAGGTCACAGGCAGAGCAGAGAGACTGAGAAGGGGCATACCTATGGATCTGTGAAGAGATATAAGAGGGGCTAGAATTGTTTTCTGCTTTAAAGATATGGGTTAGCACTTTGAATTGACTCCTATAGGAAGCCAATGTAATGACTGAGAGGGGTGAGGTGTGAGAGGAAGCCAATGTAAGGACTGACAGAGGGGTGAGGTGTGAGAGGACTGACTAGAGAGGAAAATCAATCTGGCGGCAGCATTCATTACAGACTGTAGCGGGGCAATACAGCTTATGGGAAGACCAATCAGGAGAGGGTTACAATAATCCATGCAGGAAATTACTAGAGCATGGACAAGCTCCTTGGTAGCATCTTGCTTAAGAAAGGGGCGGATGCGGGCTATGTTTTTAAGATGGAATCTACAGGATTTGGCAACATACTGGATGTGAGGCTCAAAGGTGAGGCCAGAATCAGGTATGACGCCAAGACAGCACGCTTGCAAGGATGGACTTATGTAGATTTCACTAATTTGAAGGGAGAGCAAAAGAGGAGGATCAGTACGAGGAGGAGGAAAGACAAGGAGCTCAGTTTTAGAGAGATTGAGTTTCAGAAAGCAGGAGGACATCCAGTCAGAGATGGAAGAAAGGCAAATGTATATGTGGTAGTGGAATCCAAGAGGTAATACGTTTGCCGAGAAAGGGAATGTATAAAGAGAAAATAGAAGGGGACCAAGGACAGATCCTTGGGGGACTCCAACAGTGACAGGACGAGGGGAGGAGGTATCATTAGAAAAGGAGACGCTGAATGAGCGTTGGTAGAGATAAGAGGAAAATCACGAGAGGACAGAGTCACAGAGACCAACTGATTGAAGAGCTTGAAGAAGGAGAGCATGATCAACGGTGTCAAAGACAGCAGAGAGGTCAAGAAGAATTAGTATGGAGTAGTGGCCTTTGGATTTAGCTGCGATTAGGTCGTCAGTAACATTGATAAGAGCAGTCTCAGTAGAGTGGAGAGGGTGGAAGTCAGATTGAAGAGGGTTAAGGAGAGAGTTAGAATTGAGACATACGAGTAAAGACAAGTCTTTCCAGAAGCTTTGAGGAAAAGAGAGCAGGGATAAGGGATGATAGTTAGACGGGTCGAGAGATTTTTTTTAGGATAGTTTTTCAGTGGCATGGTCATGTCAGCAGGGAGAACGCCAGAAGAGAGAGAGCAGTTGAAGATGTGTGTTAAGAAAAGCATAAGATAAGGGGAGAGAGATCTGATAGGATTGAGTGGGCAAGTGGTGGGGCGAGAGGAAAGAAGAAGCGCAGCCATCTCTTGTTCAGTAGCCGGGGAGAAAGTCTGAAAGGTAAAAAAAGCATGATCTACGTGTGGTTGAGAAAGAGAAAGGCAGGGTGGGGAGAATTCTTTCCTTAGCTTTAAAGCGATTGTCTTTGTATTGTTGTACTACTTTTTAAAATTATGATTGTTTTAAATCTTATACATAAGGAATGTAAGGACTGCTTTTCCTTATGAATAACCTGCTGGTTGCCATAAATTGACAAAGGGCGGAGCTTTAGTCTAGCTCCACATCCTTTGTCAACTTTACCATTGGTTACTCAACTTTATACACATCTCTGTTCAGCGCAGTTTCACTTCCAGGAGCATCGTGCTGTGATTTCTTCACAGCTGCAAGCCACCCACAAGAGTCCCCCCCCATAAAGCTGAGAGACTTCCAGCAGTCACCATTTTGGAATCACTAAGATGGAGGCATCATAAATTAGCTCTTTTTGAGTGCATTGGACATTCCTTAAAATTTAAACTGAATCAAAAGACATACACGAGAAAAAAGTAGGGACACGTAATTGCCAGTTCCTGGCAAAACTTGGATCTTCTGCCACCATTTCCCAGCTGCCAGTCGCAACAGTTGATAGCCAGAGCTGCTCTGTCAAACACAGTTCTACTTGCATGGTTTACAAATGTGATGGCCTCTAAATTAGATCGATTATTTTTATGATACTTAAAAATAAAAAAATAAAAATAACTGACTCGTATGAAAGAGCAGTACACATGTTCATATATACATGCATATCTAGTCATTAAATAAACATGTGCATCTTCTATATGTATGTATTTACGCTTTCCAAGCTACTTTGAAAACAATTGAACAAAGATACTCTCTGGGGAAGCTGAATTATTCTCCTACACAGCCTAGATCAGGGCTGCCCAAAATGTAGATTCTCAGATGATTTAGGACTACAACTCCCATGAAGCTTTACATGCCTTTAGAATTGCAAAGCATAATGGAAGCTGTAGTTTTAAAAGATCTGGGGATCTACCTTCTAGGCACCTCTGGCCTAGAGTTTCTTTTTACTGGATAACTCTTTTCTTTGGAGAGAATTTCAAAATACTGAGGTGCTATACGAACTGTAAGAGCTGAAATAAGAGATTGAGATACAGTAGGAAACCCTCAGCTGAAATTTAGAATACTCTGGATGTCACTGTCACATAGTGATCAGCTGATAAAACAAAGACATTCGCAATGGTAAAATGTGTTACTCATGAAAACTCAATAGAAACATTTAATAAACAGAATAAAATCAACATATTTTAGAAAAACAAAACAACTGTGAAGGAATGATACATTGCAGAGATGGAACACCTCATAATGCAAGCCTTTGTTTAAATAATTTAGTAACAATCCTGTGAAAAAAGTGAATTATCTGATCAATGCAAGGCATCTATAAAAATTGATAGATGTCACAAAATGATCCAATTACTTCACTGAAAACCACTGATTATGGATTAAAAAAAACAAAAAACACACCAATCTCTCCCCCCCCCACCCCTGAACGCATTTCATGTACATACACATGTAGCATGTACAGATAAAAACAAGTGATCTATTTTCGTGTATAAACACAGACTAGTGCAGACATCCAAATTAAATGTACACAGCGTATTCTTACCTGGCTGGACTCTGTTCCAATAATAGTCAGGTCTTGCACAGATCTGCGCCTCTGCTGCCCGTTGCCTGCTGGGTATCAGATAAGAACGATTTAGCAAACACTGTTTCTACACAGAACTGAATGGGCACAACTGTGGAAGCTGGGAATTCGTACAATTTCATAGACAGAAGGAGAGAGAGGGATCAACACAGGGCAGTAGAAAGACAGCTGCAATAGTTTAACTCTAGAAACGCTAGTTAGCTTACTGGCCACTCCTGACAAATGAACAGTTAGCAGCTTCCTCTACCATCTTCAGTCACCTGTCATAGAGGGGTGTGAGTGTGATGGCATCTATTTCCAGGGCCTTACGTTATGGGGTTTTTACAGCAACACTTAATGTGTGAGCGAGAGACCGGACAAATACAACATCTGCTTTGTGTCTCTACCTAAGCAAACATGCCAACCAGACATCTAAATCTTGCAGCCCCCGTATTAAGATCATTCCCTTTATCGGCAAGCAAAAAATAGCATTTAAGTCCATGCTCCCTGCCACTCCCACACTCTTGCTTTAATTAAAGTTGGATCTTACCACCAATATATTAGTGAGAATGCTGTAATCATGCCTTGTCAGACACCTGCTAGGGAATCTCAAATGCCGACAGGACACTATGTTTACATTGGACCGTGTGCGAACGAGAAGAAAAACTCAGACCATGCATCCTTTTGTTGAATTAGAGAGCTGCCAAGATAGAGTTCTTCTCTAATAGGAATACATAATGTTTGTATCAGGTCCTAAAATTTGAGATCAGTTGTTCAAAAGGAAACAGTGGATTGCTCTCAGCAACAGCTGATACGCTGTTCAGCATTCTTTCTCCTACATAGTGCATTACATAACTTTTCTCCTTCAGTATACTGGCTACAAGTTGCAAAATAAAATCAAGTCACTGTGGCATACAACCAAACCATTGAGCTTAAGAGCCTTAGCAAATTCTGCAAAGCCACTAAATGTAACATACATTCTCAGCCCATAATATTTACCCCTATTTTATAATCTTAATATTACATGAACAAGTAGAGATGCAGCAGAGGAAGAATTGTCTAGCAGTAAGAAATTAACATACACAAAGACTATGCTTTCTTTTATTTTGCATTCTCAGACAGACATTTTCATTACATAATATTGAAAAGACCGGCAATGTTAATGTCCTTGCAAACAAGCCATGCGATATATTCCATCCCTCTAGCGAGCACATATTCAGTGGCAGTGTTCTAAAATTAGCAGGAATGAAATAAGCTGGGAGAAATTGTTGGCATTCTTAATTAGAAATCAAATCACTTATGAATTTGACGAGCCTTATACATGCTGAGTGGAATGAAGTCACAATTGTCAGGGAGTGGCAAAATAAAAACAAATGACAGCATGGAATAGTGTGTTTATGGAAGGATCAGGAAAATAAATAGTATTAAATAGGATGGTTTATTGATCAAGTTTTTTTTTTTAAATGTTTTGCATGCTCATTATTTCAAAGCCGCTGTATACACAGCTAAATACTTATTGCTCCAAATTCACAATTTACACCTGCCACCAAGATACAGAGTGTTACTGGTTAGGAAGTGTTGCAGTCATTTCAGCCTTACATCATAAAACAAGATATATGAGCTACTGGATTTGTTAATCCCACACGTGTTGCCGTTTGTCACAGTGCTGAAAGCATATTTAGTTATCATCTAATAAGTAAGTGTAACTCGTGCCAAGTTTGTGAATACAGGATCTAGAATCGAATGCAAAAACTGCATCTACAAGCTTCCCATTCATAAATTGGAATTCACATGTTATGCCCTTCCTTAGTTCTAGAAAGTCATCCAGGGCATGATTACCAAGTGACAACAATTTCAAAAGGCTTTTAAGTCCATTCTGGAAAATAAAGTCAGTGCGTGTGTAAAAACTGACCACTTTTCTTTTTAAGTGCACTGTCACACCAACTACAGTGCGTGCTCCATAGCTGAGTGCATACTATTGACATTTTTATTTTCATATATTATATATATATATATATATATATATATATATATATATATATATATATATATATATATATATATATATATATATATATATATATATATATAGTTTTCAATCTTCTCTTAATAAAAAAAATTAAAAGGCCATACATCCATTTTGTATAGTAAAACTACGGTATTTAAAGTTCAAATACACTCGTAAACAAGGACTTTGAGTGGAAGCGAGAAACTGCGGAAGCGCAGCAGGGATTTGGAAAAAAATTAAATAGCTAACTGCAATATAATGAAACTGAAAGTTGATAGTTGTGTATATTGTGCAAATCTACTCATGCAGATTTTGTTAAACACACAGTTGTTGTGAGAAATTAGACAGCTACATTTATACACTTTACACTTAAAATGGACTGTCTGTGTCTTGGTTGGCATGATTTTCGTATGGAACAAGAGTTCAGATTAATGGTCTAAAGTTCTAAACAATAAAGGCATGAATTTTGTAGAAACTTCAAGAACGGATGTATACGCTTTAAACTCATGAGGACAGTAAGATTTGGAGCAACAAGCATTCAAAAATCAGTTTGTGGTTATTCAGCTTTGGCTTGAGAGCTCCTACTCATTCTGTAGTACCTGTTATGATGATCTCAGGGACATCCAGAATGTTGCCAAATGAAGCAGTTTTACGGTGGCCTCGTTTAGGCTTGATATAGGCTGCAAAAACACATACAATACACATGCAAACAACTAAAAGTGGTATGGAAGCACAAATAACAAGGCATGGACATGTACTGCACAATGTTACAATGTTAGGGAACATGCAGAAAAGAACCATGCAGAATGGGCAGCTAAGTGGGATTTTTCTAACCCAACTTAAAGGACCACTCTGGGCATCATAACCACTTTATTGCAAAAAGGTGTTATGGTGCTAGGAAATCCCACTGGTTTACCTGGAGAAGTTTAATTGCCAGTTTCACCACAAGTGTCTTTAAGTCTGTGCTTGATTGCTCTGCCCCAAGTACTTCTGCTCAATATCCAAGGTTTCATATAGTAACACGCCACTGAGAAAAGAGTGATAAAGATACATAACGTTTTCATTCTCTCTTCTCAATGGGGAGCTACTGATAGGCTGATGCTCTCAGTCAGTGGTGCCCAATCTGATTGAAACCTTGTACATTAAGAGGAGGTACAGAGGCAGAACGATGGGGTGCAGGCTTTAAGACACCGGGGTTAAACCACTTATTAAGGTTTATCCCGTTCAGGTAAGTAGGCACCCAGGACCTCCTCACACCATAGAACTTTATTGCAATTAAGTTGATATGGTCCCTGGAGTGACATTTAAAAAAATAAATATTTAAACAGACAAAAACACAAGTGTACACAATGTAAGAAGGATAAAAATGTTAATGGACATGCACAAACATGACAGACACAAAGCTACACTAAATGTAAAACCTACACTAAACTCTATACTCCTATAATAGGTTAAATAAAAAGCGCTGAATATGAGCAGAGGGATAATCCAGGATGAAAAAAAAAACAAAAAACCTACAACTAAAACCACTGTGATTGTTTATTTAATATTCAATGCAACAAATCTAAATTTTTAAGACCTCCTTAAAATAAATAAAAAACTTCCCCAGCCTCTTGGTAACCACAATACCACTTTATTTTGGTCATGTGTTAAAGGACCACTATAGGCACCCAGACCACTTCAGCTTAATGAAGTGGTCTGGGTGCCAGGTTTAATCCCTTTTTCTATAAACACAGCAGTTTCAGAGAAACTGCTATGTTTATAATAGGGTTAATCAAGCCTCTAGGCGGCTGTCTCATTGACAGCCGCTAGAGGCGCTTCCGTGCTTCTCACTGTGAAAATCACAGTGAGAAGACGCCAGCATCCATAGGAAAGCATTGAGAATACTTTCCCATGGACTGGCTGAATGCGCGCGTGGCTCGTGCCACGCATGCGCATTCAGCCGAAGAGGAGGAGATTCCCCCGCCCGGTGCTGGAAAAAGAGGTAAATTTAACCCCTTCCTCCCCCTAGAGCCAGACGGGAAGGGGACCCTGAGCGTGGGGGCACCCTCAGGGCACTATAGTGGTCCTTTAAGTTTCACCTATGTCACCTAGTGGTAGAGATGAATGTGGGTAGCAGTGAACAGGTAACATTTCCAGATGTAAAGCATGCGAAGATCAGGTAGTCAAAAGATATCCAAATCAAATAAGGCCAATAAAATAGGTAGCACATGTAATTTCAACTTCTAGATCCAAATGCTTACTTGGAAACAAGATATGTCTCCATCCTGGTAAAATAAATATGAAGTTGCTTGCTAATTCAGTATAACTCACTTAGAAAGACATTTCCGTAAAAGAACCCTGGCCCTGCAAACTCCTGATCAAAGCCTGGAAAGGATTCACTAATATTCTCTGAAATCTTAAAGTAAGTGGCTCTGAAGCATCCAACACACTATTAAAGAAAATTAATTTAATCCACAAATTCTGTAACATACTCAATTAGCCACTCCATCATATTATTTCAATAAAAACATAACAATATTGTGAAATACTTACAACGCTATAAAAAAATAAAAGGATTGTGTATTCTGAATATCATTACATCACACAACAAAAATCAATGCCACCTAGTCAAATAGTTATAATCCACTGAGAAAAATGACTGAAAGATGTGCTTTATACGGTTTTGCTGTGCTCCAGCCACCATGACCACTTCTGCTTTTGAAGTGGTCATTGTGTTAGGAGTCTGGATGTGCAGTGCTTCTGCTTGAAATACTGCACATCCAGAGTAATTTGCACATGTGTGTTGTGTGCTAGGTGGAGGTGTGACTTAGGCAGCCTCTCAATTCTGTGCATAAAATACATCTGGCAGCACACACTGCACGCTGCAAACAGATGTAAAATCAGGTAGAACTTCCTGAATGTTTTTGTATTGGGGAGCCAATAGAATATGCAGCACAATTTGGATAGTGCCACATGCAAAATTGATATCAGTTATGGCACGACAATAGATAAAAATTAGGGGGGAGATTAAGAGTTCTAAAAGCGGCAAGCCTTGCACTAGGAATTATAAAAGTTACATGTCTTTTAACAAAGTCTCAGTCTCAACATACATGGGCTGTATGTCATGATTTTCCTTGTTCCTTTTGATTTGTTTTTGCTCTGTATAGGACACTAAAATGTCTTATAAATAACACATTACAGCATGACCTGAGAGCGGAGCAGGTCAGTATGGCAATATTCCATGGAAATAAACGTCTAGGCTCTGGTCCTGGACCTTCTTTGAAACGAAGTGCCGCGTTTTAATCACAACAGCCAGATCTCCATTGGATGGATGCATTATATGAGGCGGCACTTTAATATTAAACTGTTGCTTATGACAACACCAGGCTTCCTTACAGGATAACATTAATGGGGGCCCATAATTACAGTAAAGAAACCACCACTTTACTATCTAACAAACCAAATTAAACTGTGTGATGTTTACATTTCATAAAACTCATGTATTTCAACATTTGACACTTGCATTTCAGTGAAAAGGCACCATGTAATGAGTAGTGTACAAAACAAAACCCACAAAAATTATGGTTGTTATGGTTCCTTCACAGACATCGCACTAATGCTTAAAACCTACAGCACCCTAAGCCATCTATTCTAATACTTTTGCTTGAAATTTAGAAATTTGTATGTTCGTTGAACGTGAAGAGGAATGCACTGGCAGAATAAAACAAAGCACACATCCAGAGGCCACCTTTTATTTATGGTTTTGCTGATCTTGTATAAAGATAAGCAGTATGTGTAATACACACACACACGTATAGAGAACAATATCAATACAGATTTTATATAATATATATATATACACACACACACACACACACACACACACACACATATATATATATTTTAAACTTTAGACACTAGTTAAAAACACAAATTACTAAATAAGTCAGGAACAGAGCAGAATTTTAAGTTGTCATGTTAGCGTATTATTAACCGATTACAAATGACGTATGAAGAAACAATGGACAGAATTCATGAATGGCTTGATATAAAAAAAAAAAACAAAAAAAAAAAACTGGCTTAAACAAACACATGAACCATATTTTTTGCGAGCCATTTAACCATTGACTAAATTCTAAGGTGAAGAGAGCTTGTTCTAGTACTTAAAAAAAGGGACATTATATACCATCAAAATAACCTTACTTTTAAAACAGGCTCAACCATCTGAAGAGCACTGGATAGAAGGCTACAAAGGATTCAATAAAATGTTTTTGGACTATGCCCAGAAATGCATTTGAAGGCTATACACTTGCTCCTTGAGTATTGGGAAGATAAACATAGCTACAAAATAATGACTAAGTATCATAGAGGAAAAAAAAAAAATAATAGATATATATATATATATATATCTATATCTATCTATCTTAGGTGTCTGAGCATCTCTACCGCTACGGGGATTTAAAATCAACATATAATATTTTTAAAATCCCAAGCCAAAAAATAAATAAATAAAAATATATTGAAAAAATTGTCTGTACCAACCAACTTTCGATAATCATAGGAAAATATGTTTAACATTGTAGGCATTTTTTTTTAAACTAAGGGTGCTCTAGAACGTTTAGCAGATCTGTTATTTTTCCTCAATGGCTCTATAAAGTTTCTTTTTCCCCTCACAAATACTTAAGCCAACTTCTGCGTTTTTGTATGACTATATATTTGAGTTAATCCAGCTCAGAAATAATATGAAGAATGCGTAATTTGATTCAGTTATTTCATGAGGCAATCTAAATATGAGAAACAGGGGTAAAGCTACCAATAGGATTTGAAGAGCCCAATTAATTGTACTAAATAAGATAGGAAATAGCCCACTGCTATTATTTCTGAATGTAGCCCTTAGCCACTATATATTGTACTAATAATAAGCAGACCATTTTATAGGCCCTTTAATGATAGGCAACATTAACAGCACTCTAACAGATTATTGTAGTGGTTAGGATGCAAAGAGTCCCTTTTCAATCAGTTCACTTAAATAAGGTGACCCTTTTATTTCAGCTTTACCAATCTAGACCTATCCAATCATGGAAAACGCTCGTTAATATTTCCTCAACTCTTTTACAGTGAGGATAGGGAAAAATCCTGTGTGTTTACTCATCATAAAATTAAGAATGTATCTTCTATTGTATTAGACTTCACTAGTATTGAAAACAAAATCATATTAATTGTAACAATCTGCTCAAAGATGCACCTATTTAGATGTAAAATCTAACAAGCAAGATTCACCCCCCAAAAAAACAAAAAAAACCTGGAGTAAAATTTCATTGGATAAATTGATTGCCTCTTTTACCTGTGCTTGCCGATAATCTTGGTTCCAGTTCAGACATGTCAGCACTCTTTCGTTTGTCATCTGATGTACCCAAATTAGAAGGTGGTCTCCTTTGAATATCTGACAGACTTTCAATGCTGCTGCCTCGTGAGGGTGGCAAACTCAAACGGCCAGGTTCCCCCTGCATCAGAAATAATGTATTACATGTGTAATTCGCTTTCATTTAAATAGGCATCACAAAACAAAGACGAGCCATGGGGAATGTTACATCCACATATATGAGATAAATCATACATTTAACTTTCACTTACTGGTTTTAAAACATAGATCTTGTTTTACAATGAAAATAAGAAAAAAACTCTTTGTTGCATATCTCATAAAAGAACACTTGTGATCATATTGCTTATAATCTAGATTTTACTTTAGAATTTATTACAGTAGATTCTACTCTCTGCATTAGACACACACACAAAATATGTACAAAATGTATTTTAAATTCTTGTTAAGATCAAGATAATTTGGTTCCTCCAAATAATGTTCTATAAAAAGCAGACTTAAATTATTTTTACTTTGAAGACCAAAAGTTTGCAAACATACATAAAGGCTTACTTGTTTGACACCACAAAAAGAAATCCTATACAAGCACAGTTTGAATTTTTAGTAAGCTGTAAATAAGGTTATTATAAATCTTTCACATATATCAAGTTGTTAGCAACTGATCCTCTTATAATGGCTATGTAATAGCCACAGATTTGCAACATTAGTTATAATGAATATTTTTAATGCATACAGAGAGGATTACATACCTGAAGAGAGCTGTATGTCTATCTAGAAAGCCATCCTTTTTTCCAACATGAAACTACTTTTTTTAAAATGTAAATTTACAGATGGAACAAATAGTAGCGCACATCAATTTTTCCATAACTGCATATATACATATATCATTTTTACCTTCAAATTTTAGTTTAAAGGAACCCCCCACTTAACATATCCAGTACGGCTTGCTGTAGTGGTTATGGTAACAGAAGTGACCTGGCGCTTTCCAATTGTGATCAGTCAAACCATTTTTAACAGTGACTTCATACCTGTGGTTTGCTCCCCACCTCCATGATTAACCCTTAACTCTACTGAACTAAACCCTGCACTCCTTACATTGGGGAGTTAACTTTGGAAGTTAAGGTGGCTGGGGTGTTTCGTAAACTCTGTGTCATTAAAACAAAGATAAATACAAAATATAATAGCTGCATTTGGCTATGAGCAGGGTTATTGATATCCAACACCTTTGGAAAATTAGTAGTGGAATCTTCAGACCCTGGTTAGAACTGACATAACAGCAAGGCCAAGGAAGCTTTTACATACATGCGGTCGGCAATATATTACAGAAACTTACAGACTGCTTTGATTGATTTTTCAAGTGTGGTGGTAATTTGAACTCCCCTCTTTTGATTGTATCATTAGTTGTAAGTGCATGGAAATCACTAGGATCAAGGTTAATGTCACTCTTATTGCTTGTGTTTGTGGAAGTAATATCAATGCAGGATCCTAAAAAGAAATGAGATAGGAGATAAGATAAATTGCATAAACCACAGATAAATACAAACATACACACACACAAACTGCAGAAAGAACCAAAATATAAAATTAGAAGGCCATCACAAAATTAAGGAATTCTACATCCCTCACCACCTGGCGGTGAGTGTCTGGGGGAAAAGGAGCACCATGACCGAGGAGGAAGCTACAGTGCCAGGAAAACTAGTTTTAGTTTCCCTTTAAGGGCGTTGAGTGTACCATTAAACCAGATATTTTTTTTCACAGCTACTTAAACAGTAAATGTATTTATTGCAGGACTTTTACACACACAATAACATACCTGTGCTTGTTGCTGAATTGCTTTGTCCTTCATCCATGTACTGAAAAGGATACTTTAACGACTCATCAGCTCCAGGAAAATACTGAAATAAAGCAAAGATCTACTCAATGCTGAAATTCCTTTTTTTTTTTATTATTCAAGGCTGAAATTCCTTTTAAATGTTTCAGTCATCAAACTTCATTGCAGGTAATGAGTAACCCCTCCAACTTCTTACCTTTCCCCACATCTAGAGACTTTTTTTTTTGGAGGGGGAATCCTTGACATTACCAGTAGATAAGCGTACCAAAAAGTGTGTGTGTGAAGCTCGGACCAGAAGTAGGGGCTGGGAGTTTAAGTAGGGGACTTACTCCTCCCACAAATTCAGGCCTCACGGCACCGGCACGCTCACGTAAGCTTGTGAGGGAAGTAGCGTTCGGCAATTTCCCTCCGTTCGGGCCTAAAAACTTAGGGATAGGCTCCCTTTTACTATCACATTATCAATTTTCGTATACTTAACTATTTGTGCATTTCCGCGTTCGCGCCACTAAACTAGACAAACGCTCGCTATACTTACGTTTCACGGGGGCTTTCGCACGATTTAAACTGACGGACTACGTACGAACATAACTATAAAGCTAATCTTTTCAATTCTGTTTTCCGTTCGGTCATACGCACGAACCATGTACTTATTAGTTACCCTTTCGGGTATTTTAAGCAAATTGTGTAAACCTGTTCACCCCTCGCTAACTTTCCTAATTCATGCTATGTCTATTCGAGCGGGAGTAAACGAATGCACATTAAACTTAACCTAAGCAGGTCCCCCATTCAGCCAAAACTACAGATCCCCTTTCAGTATAATACAAACATTTCGTGCACACGGATTCATATGATTACTCATACCGTCTGTTCGGTTATTTAACTGTTTGTACTATCTGTCAGTAGGAGTTATTAAATACATGTAAAAAAACTACAACTATTTATCACCTAAACTGTGTTTTCCGTTTAACTATGTCTAAAATATTAAAACCATAGCCACTGTATCTTAAATAATCAGTTCTTTTTCTACACCCATGTGGTTAGTAATCTATGTTTTACGTTCCTCTATCTAATAAAATAAATTCCTCCTGACACCAAACAAAAGGGCAGAATTCTATAAATTCCACAACAACCCTGTTCAAACACAACATACATATATTACTATTACACGATCTAGGGTAACACTGGTAAAACCCCTAAAGATTTATTTTAATTTACTACGTTTTCTCCTTAAAAAGTTACTCAGTCATTACTTCCTGCCCCTGTCACATTTCTTTGGCTCCACAGATTGCCTCGGTTTCTCTTATTTTCTGCTTAAAGTTAGCAAATTCAAGGTCTTGTGTTTACAAACCAAGGTATAGCATTTACTCACCATGCTTTCAATCATGTCCATGCCTCAATACTGCATGCACTCTAAACTTATCACAGTGAAATTGGTTATTTTTAACTTACTATCACAGCATTCACAAATTAAATATTTAATGGGTTTAATCCATAGCTCCATAATTTTTCTAGGCCTCCACCGGTTTCTACGAAGGAACACCAGTTACGCTCATCCTAGTACCCGTATAACAAATCAAGGTATATTTCTCTACTCATTTCAGGACTTTTTCATACAAGACCTAACGCGGTCTCGATTCATTACGACTAACTCTAGGTCCTACGTCCTTGGTGTGTTAAATTCTCTCCTTTTTTCCTTAACCAGGAATACGGTCATACTGCCATCAGGCAAGAAATTACCAACCTACCTAACCCGGTACTCAGCCACACTACCAGGTACTTACGTCCTTATTCGTTACGGCATTCACTACCCCAAGGCTTCAAATCAGTCTCTCTCTATAACGTAAACTCGCCTCAGTCGTAGTCTAACCATTCAGATCCCTCATTTCAGGATCTCACGTCACGCTCCTATCAGTCAACCCTTTTCACAAATCATACGCCACCACGTTACGCATAAATACATCAACATCTGTCTTAATCCTTAGGCTTCTTCTACGAGGACAGCAGCAGCCAAGACTCACTACATATAAACATTCAAAGATTCCAGCTCTCTATTATAAACCCTTCAAGGTTAGTATCCACACATTACACCAGAATTACCATTCAATCTTTAGTATACAAGTGAACTGGCTTGCAGGGTCTAGGCTACCGCCCTAGCTCACCCTAGTAAAAAATCCCGTCCAGCGAGGCCATCTCTCACCTCAACACGGAAGTATGGCCCCACGCCCAAATCATAGTTATATGCCTCGCCCGCCCTACTACAGGGCTGTAGTCAGGGCCTCACCTGTCACGGCCACACGTTTTGAATCTCTGTGGCCACGATTTCTCTAAGCCAAATCATAGGTAGAGCCTCTCACCATCACTTGGCATTAGCAGGGCCTCACCTATCAAAAATTCACAGTTAAGTTTTTCGCTTTGGCATTAGCATTACAGGCCAGTTCATAAAATACCACCCTCATATCCCTCCCGGTTCCCCTACTCACCTTCTAATATCTCATTCACTGAATTATTTTTAGAATGTCTCAAGAACCAGCCCCCATCGAAGAGTTGCCCGAGGAGATCCTGTTTACGCCCATCAGACCAGACTCTCCATGCGAATCTATCACCCCTCAACTCCCACGTCCTTGAGAACATGGACTATCCCCAAAATTACGTCCGAACTTAGGCTCAGGGGAATCCCCTTTCCAGCTACAGCTAGAAAGGCGGAACTCTACAGACTGCTCACCTACCAAGCCCCTGAACCTATGCCAGGCACTAGCTCTCAAGCACGTCCACCCAGGATACCCTAGCAGCAATCTTGGCCAACTTACAGACTTTAAACAACAGGTTATCTAAGGTGGAGAGCGCCATCGCCTCCCCAGGTAATACCCCGGGCCTGCCAGTCGCCACCCTAGCAGTCCCTGCTGTACCACCATGCCCCCCCCATACTCCCTCCTCCAGCACCAGCCACAGCTATTTCTCCTTTCGAGTCACCAGCTCACTCCGTCCCAGACTCCATCAGGAAAGAAATCCTAGATGGGAAGGACATGTGTCTGGTGTCTCTGCTTATAGCATCCCAAGACATACTGGAGAACAGGGCATACAATTACGGGGACATCTCAGTGGTGCTTAAGACTAGAGACCCCAGACTCAACAAAAAACTAACCATACCTCAGTTTGTGATTGCCTTTGGGATATACCGTGATGTCATCTGCACGGTGTATCCCCATAGAAGAGAAGAGCTAGACCTCTACCTCCACAAGGTGGTGGATTTAGGCATCAAGTACGGGGGCTCCTCTTTTTACGACTATCAAAAGTCGGTATCAGCAAAGGCAGCGACCCATCTGAAACAGTTCAATGTCAGAATTAACTGGTGTCAGATAGATACAGAACTATTCTGTCACCACTTCGCTGGTCTCAGGCCCCCGTCTTGCGCCGTATGTAACTCTACATCTCATAAGGCAGACTTATGTCCTTCAGAAGCATATCCCACCACCTCCACTCCCTCCCCTAATCCCACTTTCACCTCTCACAACAAACCAGCGGGTGGTCTACGTGATAAGCAGCGTAGGCACATCTCCTTCCTAGGTAAAGCTCAGGTGTGCAATAATTTCAACGCAGGCTCCTGCAGTTTCAGCGCCTGTAGATTGTTGCACATCTGTTCTTTATGCTTTAGGGCACATACCAAGACCATATGCCCGGCCAGGTTGTCCCCTAACAAATGACTAACCGACAAATGTCGACAACCTGTTTTTTTACCTAAGGACACACCCTAGCAGACATTTGGTGGAATATCTGACCACTGGATTCACTCAGGGTTTTTTCATGGGTATTGTAGCCATCCCCACAGGCACACTGGAATGTCCCAATTTATCGTGAGCATGCCAAGATCCAATCTCCACAGAAACCCTCCTTTCCGCAGAAATTACCAACGGTTTCATGATCGGCCCCTTCAACTCTTTACCGTTTTCTTCCTGGCGCACTAACCCCATTGGTGTCGCAGTATACAAATATTCTAATAAACGTCTAATTATCGATTTATCGGCAACACACTCCTCTTTTGTTCCCAGCATAAACGCTTACCCGCACGCTTACCCACACTTCAGTATGTAACAATTGACGATGCCATACAATCCATCATCTCATCTGGTAGTCACCCCTGGCTCAGCAAAACAGACATCACAAACGCTTTCAAATTACTACCCATGCACCCCTCACTCTGGCACTTGCACGGTGTTAAATGGCGAGAAAAGTACTACTTCTCCACTCGACTCACTTTCGGTTCTAGAAGCAGCCCCAAACGGTTTGATATCTTCGCAGAAACGCTATGCTGGCTGCTTCTGAACGTCCTCAGGTGTCACTCTGTTATCCATTACTTAGACGACTTCTTACTGATAGAGCCAGGGGCACAAACACCCACCGCTATCAGCAGTACTACAGCACTTTTTTCCCCACACTTGGCGTACCATTGTCTCCATCAAAAACAATCGGCCCCACAACTAAATTAACCTTTTTGGGGATAGAGCTAGACTGTTACCCTCCGAGCTAGCCTTCCCCACGACAAACTGTTCCGCTTGAGAGGGGAGGTAGACATGTTCCTGCGGAATTATGTTTTCACCAGAAGGGAACTTCAGTCCCTTCTGGGATCCCTTAACTTTGCTATGCGCATCATCTCGCAGGGAAGGTCTTTTAAATCCAGGCTTCTTTGCCTGCTCCACAGGGTACCGGACTCTTGCCCAGTTTCTTTGGACCCCCACGCAAAGGCTGACTTAGCTATGTGGGGGAAGTTTTTTGGCAGATTGGAACGGTATCTCCATGTTTATCCCCCCTCTCTCCACTTGTTCACCCATCATCCACACAGACGCTGCATCCAACACGGGTTTTGCAGCCATCTTCGGGAACCACTGGATCAGGAGTCACTGGCCCGCTGAGACAGATGCCTTGCCAGGATTCAGGGAGACCTCAGCCCTATTCGAAATTTATCCCATCGTGGCGGCCGCACACACCTGGGGTCATCTCTGGTCCGGCAAGGCAGTAAAATGTTATTCTGATAACTCGGCGGCTTGCGAAATCATAAACAAGGGGCGCTCATCGTCCCTTACCATCATGCTACTGATTCGCAAGCTGACCCGGCTGGCAGCAACCGTCCAGTTTCATATAGTTTGTTTTCACATCCCGGGCACCCACAACACGGCCGCTGATGCTCTCTCGCTCTCAATTCCAGGTATTCTTCCAGGCACTCCCTACGGCTCACCACCAGCCATCCAGTAGACCACGATTTCACAAACTAATCCTGGATTAAGCACACTTATGCACCACGCTAGGACTCTCACTCACCAAGCACTATCACCCAACACAGCTATCTCATACAATAGGGCATTTACCATTTTTAACAAATTCACTGCAGAATTCGGTTTACAAGGCGACTTCTCTACACAAACCATGGTGGCTTTTGCCTCTTTCTGCCACTTACATCTTAAACTTTCTCACAACACCATTAAACTTTACCTCACTGGGGTTCAGCACCATAGCCTCACCAATTTTCCTAACACCCCCTTCTTGTCATCATCTCCCATTAAAAAGGTCCTGAAAGGTATATTAAAGGTTTCGGTTCCACTCACCACTACAAGACTACCTATAGATGGACCTATCTTTAGATCACTTAGCAATCTCCTTGATGAATCTCCGTTCGATCCCAACACAAACCTGGTCATCAAATCAGCTATTTATCTTGCTTTCTGCGGTTTTCTCAGACCCAGAGAGTTCACCGTTGTTTGTCAAGGAGATATCACGCACAGCCTAAAAACATCACACCTCACTAAGGTGGAGGATCAATACCTACTTACGATCCCATCAACTAAAACTAACCACTCACAACACCCCACCATAATTCCTCTCTTCCCTACCTATAATGCCTGGTGTCCGGTCAACGCGCTAGATCACCTACGGTCAACCCATCACGCGCACTTACCAGACTCTCCGCTCTTACCACTACAAGGGCACCCGCTCACCACGGCTAAATTCACGACACGTCAGGACACTACTATCCAAACTGGGTTACAATCCGGCTTCTTTTTCCGGGCACTCATTCCGCAGAGGAGCCGCTTCATCAGCCTCTAGCACAAACACCCCAGTCCACATCATCAAGAGACTGGGTCGTTGGAAATCCTCCATATATCATACTTATATACAGCGACCAGAGAAAGAGCTTCGTCAAGCTTCAGTAACTTGGTTATGTAAAAAAGGCAAAAAAGTGTATATTTTCTCGAACTTCTCTTTTGCCCTCTTTTATTTACAGGCCCACTTGTACGTTGGTTTCGGCACACCATAACCAACTTTGCCCTTTCAGATACTGTCCATTACGTATTAAATTCTGAGCACAAGTAGAAAGGCCATTAGGCCTGAATTTGTGGGAGGAGTAAGTCCCCTACTTAAACTCCCAGCCCCTACTCATCTCTGCCGGTTCAGTTGATTGTCCCCACCCACCTACACCCTGTTATCATTACATTCTCCTTGGTGGGCCCTCTTATTTACAGGCACACTCGTACGTTGGTTTTGGCACACCACAACCAACTTTGCCCTTTCAGATACTTTCCATTACGTATTAAATTCCGAGCACAAATTATAAATTATATATATATATATATATATATATATATATTTTTTTTTTTTATTAGACTCTCACTTTCCTCATTTGGTGTTCTTATTTCACATATGTATCCAAAATATTTAAATCTCGTATTTGTTATATGATGTTATCAATATTTGTTACAATTTCATTTTACTTTTAAAAACACAAACTTATTTTTTTTTTTTTTAAATAAATGTATTAAAAAAACAAACAAACAAACAAACAAACTAGATAATCTGTAAACTCGATTGAGTCATTGAACAATTTGCATTATCTGGCAATTATAGTACTACACTTGCACAAGAGAGTGCGGTCATGTAAAAAATCCTTACACTAAAAGCAGGTGAAACCAGAGGGTCACCAATCACTGCCCCACTTTCTTCTTTTGCCTTTAATGAGTCCAATTATTGAAACATGTTTTTCTGGTTTTAAAAGAAAGGAAATGTTTGGACCATGCATCAATGCTGATGAGAGATTTAACACTTTCACTATATCGATTTAATTTCAAACCCCCTTCCCAAGTATAAACGTAAAAGACAAATGCTATTGGAAAGAAAAAAAAAAAAATACAGCATTTAACCCAAACAAACTACAAGACAATAAATTACATACCTGCATTAGATGTGTCATTATCTTGACTATTTCCTCCATGGAAGGTCGTTGTGGGGGATCTTTTGACCAACACAGAGTCATTAAACTTTCAATGGGCTTAGGTAAATTTTTAATTAACGGTGGCCGAGTACCTGGGAATTCATAAAAAGAGCTAATTAAGTAGATGAATTAAATCATAGATGAACACAACTGTAGCCTTTGGAAATAATTAAATCACAAAAGTGGCTTTACAAGTTTGACATCTAATCATCAACTATAGCAAACACTAAGACCCTTATTTAACAGTCAGCTTTTATCCTACCCTAGCATGGCGAGTGTTTAAAAATAAAAGAAATGTGATCATTTTGTAATCGGGGAGGAATACACATTTTAAAAAGATATTTCAGGCACCAACTTAAGTAGATTTTGAACTTTAATTCATGCTCTGTTTATTTACATTCAAAAGCAACTAAATACAGTTTTTTTAAAAAGCAGCTTTCTACAGATCAGGTTCATTTGTTTTTACTTTTTTGGGGGATATTTCCAGACATTCAGAATAGAAAAAAACATGTATACATATAATGGACTTGCACGTTATCACTTTAGTTTTTTTTTTTTGTAAGACATTGGTTTCTTCCAAGCAATGTTACCTACATGTACATATTCATCCAAATATTCAGCCTTACATTTGTTAGAAGGCGTTATCAAGATATAGGTTATACTTTTATTTTACTGTTAAAAATGTTGTACCAAATTAAACGGTTACTCCAACCACTGCAGCGGTTATGTTTCGTGGAGTGCCCTGATGCCATTCCCCTGTAATGGTGATAACAGCTTGGCATCTTACCTGGGTCACGCTGCGCCCTGAGCACGGTTAGTGTGCCTGGAGACATGCATCCTCCAGCAGCTATCCATACGATCTATTTATGTGCAGCGTTTCTTACTGCACATCCAGAAATCAAACCACTGATGTGGTCATAGTGCTTGGAGTATCATCGGAGGTTAAAACATAATATAATGAAAATATATTATGGGAACGACAACATATATGGTATGTATAACGCTCCTTTCTTATATTAAGCATATACAATTATATAGTGAGAGCTCAACCTTAAAATGGGTGATAGTGTGGTGAAAGGGTGCTGGGTGTTTAGATGCCCCTTGAGGAAGGCTAGACGCTGAAATGTTGAGGTTGCTTTATCTTCTGCTCTGGGTTAGTATGCCTGTATTGCAATAGGTTTGTGGGTTTCATTAACTGAGCACTTATCTTTGTATTCGATATGTATGTAGATAGGTCATTTGTGTCTACATGCCTATATTGCTGTTTGCACTTTCTGTGTACAATTTTTATTAAATCACTGAATGAATACAAACATTTTATGTGCAAGTATAATCTGGTGTGCTTTGGCTTATTCTCTATTATATTAAGCAGACATATGTTAGTAGTGGATCAATATTTTAGTCCTCACTAAAGACTTTTCTCAAAAAAGTTTAATTATGAGTGAAACCTGACATTATATATTGCTATACAGTAGCCAGCAGGAAGAATTGTGTATTTTAGAACAGAGAAAGCGAGGTACAAAGGTGGATATAGGATACAATTAGAAGCATGGTTTGCTGAAGCATTTCAATTAGAAAATATAGATTGCAAACAGAACGTGTTTAACTCACCATTATGAACGGCCCACATTATCCGGAAAGCAGGACCACCGATTTCATCAAACGGTTTTCTCCTGGTTATTACTTCCCAAAGGATGATACCCCAACTAAACACATCACACTTCTCACTGTAATTGCTACCTAATGCAAATAAAATACAATATGTCTCACTATTCATCATTCACTGCTATTCTGAAACAGGTTTTGTATTTGTGACTTTTTTGAATTTTTTTTTTGAAATAACGTAAATACATCAGGAAACAATTGGTAGCTTCATGTGCTAAGAAATGGAGACGAGGCTCAATGGAAAGATGTACAAACAGAGGAGTGACAGCTGTAGGCAAGTATTTCTCATGGCAAGTTGAAGACAAAAATCAGTTACATTATATCTAAAGCAGTGGAAAAATAATGGAGTGGAACCTTTTTGGTATTGCAGATATCATTTTATACAGAAGATTTACCCCATCCTATGTGATGAGGAGAACTGCTGCTGGGGGATAACCTACTTATCCTAAAAACCTTTACATGACAGGACATAAGATCAGACTTCACTAACTATTATGAGGTGCTCTTGTCAGTAACAATATGTGTCCGAACTCGTGGACTCTCTCGGGTGTAAAATAAATAGTTAGTGGCAGGCTTATGCAGTGTAATATTGTAACTAAATCGCAATTATTTTTGTCAAGTCAGGATAAACAAACAAAATAATTATTACACTTTGTGAGCGCGTGGGATTTTGTGTGTGTTGTGTATGTGAGTATATACATACACACACCTATTTATCCCCTTGCTTTTGGGAGATTTTCAATAAAGCAAAGTATCCACATGCGCACTGTGCCAAAATTTACTGGTAAGCTGCATTTGCTTTGGCTATCCGGCTCCCTTCCATGTTCCGGAAAGGACAAGACAATACATAATAAGGGCCATAGAATAACAGCATTTCCAGCAGTATCAGAGCTGGGGAGCGATACATACAGTTTCTGAGGGATAATTAACTTATGGAAAGTCCACTAGTTCCACAGTGCCTGCAAGTAAGCCTGTCTGTATCTGCATAAATGACTGTGCGTGTCCAAATCTATGACCAACAACAATCTGTGATATATATATATACCACATTTTAGTCTAATTTTCGACCAAAGTAAATGTCCATTGTGTTTTGTTTTTGTACAACACTGCAAGATAAGTGTTTTGTGAGAGAGTGTGTGTGTATATAAAAATATATATTTATATACACACACACACACTGTATGTGTGTATATTATATATAAATACACACTTATCTTGCAGTGTTGTACAAAAACAAAACACAATGGACAATTACTTAGGTCAAAAATTAGACTAAAATGCATAAGGTGCATATTGTGTATTTATGAACACATAAGTCAAATTTCACTATACAATTCTAAAAGAGCAATGAAGCCAATATAAAACAATAATTTACCTTCAAAAACCTCTGGCGCCATCCAAGCAGCACTCCCTTTATTGTTAGTCATGTGTGTCTGGATATCACAGGCTGTCCCAAAGTCACATATCTTCAGAACTGTGCCTCCAGCCACTAGTAGCAAGCTATAAAACAAGGAACAAGTGATAGTTTGGAGAGTTGACTGAATTAGTTTTCAACCATAAGTGCCAACGGCATTTTACGCTGACATCACAGTCTGGTTCCTACAGTTAATTTATATAAATTTCCAATTGCCACTAGCGAGTGAAAAATTTAGCAATGCGAGTAGAAATTAATTGCTGGTGAGTATACTCTGGCCTTGTAACTCAAGGTGTGGCTTGCAGCATGTTTTAAGGTGTGTGTATATATATATATATATATATATATATATATATATATATATATATATATATTCACACACATACACATTCTACATATTCCTTATTTAGCTCTATAAAGCTTCACAGTTAATAAATGTTTGAGACATTTGAAAGAACAGACAATGTTCCTAAGGTGTTAAGCCATTTCACTATACTGTAACAGCACAGGTTTTAAAAATTTAAAAACAAAAAGCTTGAATAAAAGATATATGCAATTAATTTGCTCAGAATTGTGTATAGTACACAAGTATCTATCTGCATCTTATTTATGTGAAGACCTACTTTATGTAGAGAAGAAAATGAGCTTGGAATAGAAAATTATACAGAGACCGAAAGGACTAAAAAACTATTTTGAGAAATATATAGTTAAGATGCTTATAAAGGAAGTTAAATATATGGAGTGGGTGGAGCAAAGGGAATATTATTTTCCCACATGATACTACTCCAATCTATATACAGGTGATATTCGAAAAATTAGAATATCGTGCAAAAGTTCATTTATTTCAGTAATGCAATGTAAAAGGGGAAACTAATATATGAGATAGACGCATTACATGCAAAGCAAGATAGTTCAAGCCGTGATTTGTCATAAGTGCGATGATTATGGCTTACAGCTCATGAAAATCCCAAATCCACAATCTCAGTAAATTAGAATATTACATGCAATCAATAAAACAAGGAGTGTACATAGAACAATATCGGAGCTCTGAAAAGTATAAGCATGCATATGGACTCAGTACTTGGTTTGGGCCCCTTTTGCAGCAATTACTGCCTCAATGCGGGGTGGCATGGAAGCTATCAGCCTGTGGCACTGCTGATGTGTTATGGAAGACCAGGATGCTTCAATAGCGGCCTTCAGCTCTTCTGCATTGTTCGGTCTCGTGTCTCATCTTTCTCTTGGCAATGCCCCATAGATGCTCAATGGGGTTCAGGTCAGGCGAGTTTGCTGGCCAATCAAGCACAGTAATCCCACGGTCATTGAACCAGGCTTTGGTGCTTTTGGCAGTGTGGGCAGGTGCCCTGCTGGAAAATGAAGTCAGCATCCCCATAAAGCTCCTCTGCAGAAGGAAGCATGAAGTGCTCCAAAATCTCCTGGTAGACGGCTGCGTTGAACGTGGACTCTATGAAACACAGTGGACCAACACCAGCAGATGACATGGCTCCCCAAATCAACACAGACTGTGGAAACTTCACATTGAACTTCAAGCATCTTGCAGTGTGTGCCTCTCCATTCTTCCTCCAGACTCTGGGTCCTTGGTTTCCAAATGAGATGCAAAAGTTGCTCTCATCAGAAAAGAGGACTTTGGACCACTGAGCAACAGACCAGGTATGTTTTTTTCTTTAGCCCAGGAAAGACGCTTTTGACGTTGTTTGTTGTTCAGAAGTGGCTTGACAAGAGGAATACCACATCTGAAGCCCATGTCCAGGATCCGTCTGTGTGTGGTGGCTCTTGATGCACTGACTCCAGTCTCCGTCCACTCTTTGTTAAACTCCCCAACACTTTTGAATGGCCTTTTCCTGTCAATCCTCTCCAGGCTGCGGTCATCCCTGCTGCTTGTACAGATTTTTGAAGTTTAGCTAATTCTTTAAAGATACTAAAAGGAACACTCCAAACACCATAAACACTATAGTGCAGTTTGAAATGTTGCTTTAAGAGCATCCATGTTAGAACAATCGTGCTGCCCTATCAACGAGAACTTAGCAATACCAAATTAGCAATAAAATAAATAATTCTTACTAGCAATTTACAACCAAGGTTTAGAATAATGTTGGAAAACATTCTTTTGTCTCATACTTATTGAAGGTTACTCAGTTTATGGTCAGAAAACACAACAAAACTGCTGTTTGGCTGGCGCTGGGATGCAAAACAGAAAATCTATTAAAAAAGGGCAAGAAGCCTATAAATGGTAAACAGCTACTTACTTTGGTGGCTTAAGGTCCCTGTGAATTAGAGCCTTTGGTTTCATGCTGTGCAGATATGCAACTCCTTGGGCACATTGTAAACACCAACTCATTGCATGGGCAGCTGTGTAGTAAGGCAATGGCTCAGCACCATGCAGGACTGCATAACAAGGCAAGAAGAGGAGAAAAATATCAAATGCATGGCAGATTACAAAGGTGAATAAATAATTGTAAGAAATTGTACATGTAAACCCTTTAAGGGACACTCCAGACCTCTTAAACAGACACTATAGTCACCAGAAGAACTAAAGCTTATTGTATTTGTTCTGGTGAGCAAAATCATTCGGTTCTGCTACTTCCTGATAGTTTAGTTTAATGGAGCTAAACAAGAGACAGGTAAGTGCCCAGAACACATGCATTGCAATGAATTCTAATTGAGCTGCATTATGAAGTCTATGATCAGACGACTACAGTAAACCTGGGTCTGGGGAAGAAGGCACAGCTTCCAAATGCTGACGCTTTTGCAAGTCGCTGTAGATATACTCCAAAAATAAATGCATGTTTTCACTTGTGGTATATCAACAAAATAGTGAGGTTGAGAAGGATTTGGGAATTGTTATAGGCAGCAATATGCAATGTCAATCTGCAGTTGCTAAGGCCAGTAAGATTTTGTCATGTATAAATAGGGGCATAAATTCTCGGGATGAAAATATAATTTTGCCTCTTTATAAATTGCTGGTAAGACCACACCTTGAATATGCTGTGCAATTTTGGGCGCCTGTTCTAAATAAGGATATCATGGTACTGGAGAGGGTCAGAGACGAGCTACAAAATTGATAAAAGGAATGGAGCATTTTAGTTATGAAGAAAGGTTAAAAAAAAATGAAATCTGTTTAGTTTGGAAAAAACGGCGCCTGAGAGGGGATATGATAACTTTATACAAATATATTCAGGGCCAGTACAAACCTTTATCTGGAAATCTATTCATAAACAGGGCTATACATAGGACATGGGGTCACACATTTAGGCTGGAAGAAAGGAGATTTCATCTAAGGCAAAGAAAAGTTTTTTTTACAGTAAGAACAATAAGGATATGGAATTCTCTGCCTGGAGAGGTGGTTTTGTCAGAGTCCATACAGATGTTTAAATTGAAATTGGATAAATACTTACAAAAACATAACATACAGGGATATAATTTCTAATTAGTGGGGTAATAGCTGCTTGATCCAAGGAGACATCTGACTGCTATTTTGGGGTCAAGAAGGAATTTTTTCCTAGTTTGTGGCAAAATTGGAAGCGCTTCAGACCAGGTTTTTTGCCTTCTTTTGGATCAACAGCAACAACATTTGTGAGGAAGGCTGAACTTGATGGACGCAAGTCTCTTTTCAGCTATGTAACTATGTATTTTGGCAGTGGAGTGAGCAATCCTCTTCTCCTCTCTGTATAAAAATCCAGGTTCACATTTGATGGAAGAAGGAAGCTTTTGGCTTTTTGGCATTATTTATGAAAGAACGAGCTCTTTTAATACAGGATGTGGGTGGCGGGGTTAAAGAGTATTTTTCATCTACAAGCAGCCAAGTACACATTTATAATGATCCAATGACAAGCAAATCAGGTGACAGGTTGCAAAGATGCCATCCTTTGACAGTCAACTGCCACTGCTTGTATATGGAGATTGCAATACCCGTGTGAGAAGGTGAAATAGCTGTATCCCCATAATTTTGGCCAGAATGTGATTGGGTGCATTCATATTTAGACAGAAATATCTATGATAGACCGTTTTATCTTACCATTGTATAATGAGCCTCCTTCTGCATATTCCATAACAAGACATACCTAAAAAAAACAAAAAAACAACTAATTTCTGAATTCATCTATACAAAACACATTTTATTATAAACCTGTATAAATGGTCTTCTGTTAAGAATTAACAGCTGAAGTAATTATACATCAACCCACTACGGAGTACAAACGGTCACTCCTCGTGGCTGCCTGATGGAGGATCACTTTAATGGTAGCTCTTTAACCCCTTCAATACCAAGCAATTTGCAAAAAAAAAACAAAAAAACCCCCATTGTTTTCAGTGTCCCAATTAGTAGTGTTTCCATTGAATAATGTGCTACCTAAGCATACAGGAAAAAGAAAAAAAAAAAATCTATATTTTTTTGGACAGGAAAAACACAGAAATTAAAAAATAATGAAGTTAGTTAAGAAAACTATAGTAACTAAATAACATTTCTGCACATGCAAAACATTTTGTCCCTACATATTGCAATAATTCACTCACACTGGTCCCATACATTCCCAGTTTATGTTGTTGCACTTTGGACTCGCGCACACTGACAGGCACTGACACAAGTTGTCTTCTTGTATACAGAGCTGTGCTGGTAGAGCAAGACAGCCAGCAAGCAGCTCTGTGAGTAGATACCCAGACATTATACAGAGATAGATGATAACTGTGTTTAATGTCTGGACACATGCTACTAGAGTTTCCAGCACAGTGCCAAGCAATGAACAGGACTGATTACGAATCATGGCACTGTTCAGCCACAACATTAAAGCCACTGACAGGTGAAGTGAATAAAGTTGTTTATATCATTACAATGCCACTTGTGAGGGGGTGTGATATATCAGGCAGCAAATGAACAGTTAGTTCTTGAACTTCACGTGTTGGAAGCAGGAAAAAAAAAATAAAAAAATTGGGAAAGCGAAAAGATGTGAGTGACTTTAACAAGGGCCAAATCGTGTGACTTTAACAAGGGCCAAATCGTGATGGCTAGACAACTGGGTTAGAGCATCTTCAAAACGACAAGTCTTGTGGGGAGTACCTCATTTGCAGTTTTTAGTACCTACCAAGAGTGGTGCATGGAAGGACAACTGGTTAACAGGTGTCAGGGTCATGTACACTCAAGGCCCATTGATGCACTTGGGGAGCAAAGGATAGCCCAACTGTTCTGATCACACAGAAGAACTACTGCAGCTCAAATTGCTGTGTCAGAACACAGTGAGTGAATCATTCATCGGCTGCTTTAACTCACAAAAGGATAGCTGCTACAGCTCTCACCTTCTTATCGCTTCATGTTCCGGCTCCTCCTCTATGACGGAGCGGACGTAAAGAGAAAGGAACCATAAAGAGAGTAAATTGAGGCTAGTTCATTGCACCGACAGACACAGAAAAGTTCAAATGAAGGGCAGTCCAGCCAGCATCGCACTGTAAACAGAGACCTAGTCTCTGAAAGACTGCATTGAGGCTTCCTGTGTCACTGCTCTTTGCAAATTATGCCAAGATTGCAGTCAGAGCTCAAACTAAATTAGTTTGCAATAAACTCATTTAATTTGTAATTATTTATACACAATTTTCAGGTATGGGTGCATACACAAGTCATGGCACGAAGTGTGGAGTCTATGGAGGAGTGATTAAACATACATTTAAGATGAACAAGCCTCACCTCAGATTAAAGATGTGCAAGATGTTAAATTAACGTAGGCCTTTTTAAAAAAAAACTTTTTACACAATTAAACAAAACAAAAAGAGAACTTACTGGATTTAGGCATGCTCCATACAATTTTACAATATTTGGATGGTTCACACGTGACAACTGCCGGAGCTGAAAAATGAAACAGAATGATTGGTTGTGGAAGCCTCTAACAGATATTTATTGAACTGCAACGAGATTTTTATATTTTCACGTACACTGTTTGATGTTGGGAAGTAAACATAAGTCCTTTCGGTAAGCACAGATTGTATTGCGTCCCAATTATTTAAATTCAACTGCAAATAGGAGGGTGATGAGAACATAAAACTCGGCCTCCAATGTCCATTTGGTGGCATACTAGGCCTACGGGCAGCATATCTGTAGTCTTTACCGCTATGCCGATATAATGACATAAAAGGTTAAATAAACCAAGAGAGGAGAAAAAAGCTAAACTGGAAAATGTTCTAGCTATGCTTTCAGTTCAACTACTCTGGCCTTAAATTTGAAATTCACTTTGAATTCTCACTTTAGTGAATAATGAGAGAAGATGACAAATTAACATAAGCACCCTTGAATTTTCTTATGATCAACTTATGTTGAAAGCATTATTGAACTTTAATGATGCACCTTACTGTCCATGACTGGTTGAGGGCAAAGGAAACAGCGACAAGTAAGAACTATTTTTTTTTTTTTTTAGGAAAAAACATGTGACAATTAATACCTCAACTATAAAAGCTTTCCTTTCTGATTCGCTTTCGATTTGCTTGATAGCAACATCTTTTCCTCTCCATTTTGCTTTACAAACAACACCAAAGGTTCCTCGTCCAACAACCTGTTTAAATACAAGGACATTTGAAAATTTTAAATGGCAATAAACAAAGAGAAAAACTATAATTCTTTATTAAAAAAAAAAAAAAAAAGGAGCACATGACTTGCAGTACATTATCAATACTTGTTTGTAGGGGAAATTACAAAGAAACATAAAGTATATAATTAAAAGGACACTATAATCCCAAGAACAACTACAGCTTATTGCATTTGCTCTGGTGAGTAGAATCATTCTCTTCAGGCTTTTTGCTGTAAAAACGTTCTTTTAGAGAAAATGCAGTGTGTACATTACAGTCTAGGTATAACTCTACTGGCCATTCCTTAGATGGCTGCTAGAGGTGCTTCATTGGGCAGTGCTGCAGAGTAAGCAGCATGGCAATTCAGTGTCTCCACCCTCTGCATGAAGACACTAAACTTTCCTCATACAGATGCACAGATTGAATTCATCTCTATGAGGAGATGCTGATTGGCCAGGGCTGTGTTTGACTTGTGTTGGCTCTGCCCCTGATCTGCCTCCTTGACAGTCTCAGCCAATCCTATGTGGAAGCACAGTGATTGTCTCAGAGCACCACTTCTGATGAGGTCAGTAGACAGAGGCGGTTCACAGGCAAACAGGGGCAGAACCAGGAACTGCAGACTTGAATACAAGTAAGATTTTACTATATTTAGGGAGGCCAGATGGTGGTTTTAATACTATAGGGTCAGAAATACAAGTTTTTGTTTCTGACCCTATAGTGCTCCTTTAAACTAAATATTTAATTATACATTTCTCACACACCACAACATGGTATTTATTAAAAAAAAAAAATAAGATATATTCAGTGTTTTTATCCCCCTGGATATCCAACTTTTCACAAGGTATATACGAGGAACAATAAACACATCTACTGCTCATCCTGATCCTGAAGAACTGTACTACTGACCCTGCCAAAGAACTCTGAAGTATGGCTAACAAACACTCCACTGGGAAACAAATGTTTTCATGAATTATGAAGGTAGCTAGATACAACATTATTCTTCTTCCTTTTGGCAACATTTCCAATAAATTCACTTACTCATGAAATAGGACTTCAGTTCTATGTGATATCCCATCTGCCAGCGTAGTTGAACATGCAACATTTATACTGGAACAGAGAGCAATAGTTAGTAGTAAACTATGGTGTTCGGAATAAAAACATGTATTCTTAACACTTGAGAAACCCAGGCGCCTGGTCGCCATGGAATTCTGTCTTGATTTGTGAGCCCGTTCCCTCACAGGCAGGTGGCTGGTTGCGCATTTTGTAAGCAGACGGTGAGGGAGCTGTGATCTTTCTGCTCTGCTTCCTCATGTGCCGCTTAACGATCCGGAATATGACGTCACTTTGGCCCTAGCATCTCTAAGCAGCACGCGAGGGAAGATCACAGCTCCCTTGCCACCTGCCTACTGTCACTCTCCCCCAGTTAGTGTTCTAACAAAAAAATCCTACCCTGTGAAAACTCCCAAGCCCCATCACTTCCGGTGATGCGGGCATAACAGAGGTGAGCTGAATCAGCTGTAGGTCAGTTTACCTGTGTGGGGCACCTGCACCACACTAGAAAGAGGATATGGGATTGTCACAGTGCGCTGTGAGCGTGCACAGCACATGCTCTGGTACAGGAACATTGCGAGTGCAGTATTAGGATTGGGTATTTTCACGGCAGTAGTGTGCACGCACTTGAATCAGCTTTGTTGTACGCATGCGCTGGACCAGACAATGCACGGCGCATTGCAACAATCTCATCCCACCCTCCTGGTTGTAAGCAGACACTGCACACAGATAAGCTGATCTACAGCTGATTTGGCTCACTACAGGTGGCCCAGTGTCAACTGAAGTGACGGGAGTAGAGAATTCTTTCGGGGTAGGGTTTATTGATAGAACACCAGCCGCCCACTGGAGCCCAGGGAAAGCCGATCCACTCCAACTCTCCCAAAGGTAGGGAGGCTGGGTGGAATAAAACTGAATTTAAACCATATAATACTTTGTGACTGTGTATATGTCTCTCAGTATGTTTGCCTGTGTATCTGTTTGTGTCTGACAGTGTATATGTGTGTGTATGTTTGTCAGTAAGTGTGTGTATATTTAGGTGACCAACCCCCTCCGATTGAGTGGGAATCTCTTTTTTTATTCACCTTTTTTGCAATCTCTACATAGCTGGACCCACCTTTAAGGCTATGATCATCAAGCTTGATGATCACCGCCAATGCAATGCTTTTCCATAAGAAAGAATTGGGAAGGTAAAAACGCTGCACCAATTGGCATCTCCACATAGAGATGCATTGAATCAATGCATCTCTATGGGGAACAATCTGCGCACTGTGCAGCACTGAGATAGGAATCACTTTAGTGGTCGCCTGAGTGACTGCCACTGGAGATGTAAATAGGCTGCAATATAAACACTGCCTTTTCTATGAAAAGGCAGTGTATACACTTGAAAGCCTGCAGGGACAGGCTATAGACACCAGAACCAGTACATTAAACCTTTTTTTCCACCAATGTGCCAATCTAGCCGTGGCTGCCATCCCTCCATGACGGAGATCATCAATCTAGATGATCTCAGGGAATCAAATGTTTTCCCATAGAAAAACATTGGGAGGCTATTGCGCATTCAAAGCAAAACATTGCGCTAATTAGCAACATCTCATAAAAATGCATTGAAACAATGCATCTCTATGGGAAGTGTTCAGCATCTCCATGCAGGACTTGGGAGCACCTCTAATGGCTGTCTGAGTGATTGCCACTAGAGGTGTTCCAAGACAGCAGTGTAAACACTGCCTTTTCCTATGAGAAAATGCAGCATTTACATTGCTAAGCCTGCAGGAATATGCTATAGACCAAAACATTAAGCTGTAATGGTCCTGGAGACTATAGTTTCCATTTAAATAAGTTTCAATTAAAAAAAAAAAAAAAAAAAATGTTTTCAAGCCTTCAGATTAATGGCTTACATATCATTAGTTTAGTGTAGTACTTTGTTTATTGAAATAGTACTAATAGACGAATTTGTTAACCTAGTCAACTTACGTGTTTCTTTTTCTTTTTAAATTTAGACTATGGATGACAATCCATTGAATCCAGTGCATCTCCACTACAAGCATTAGAGGCCTGGTATCACCAATGCTGTGCATATTGTTGAAATATGTGAACACCTTAAATTTAAGGCGAAAGTACCTTTAGTGGTGGTACGAGAAAAAGGACAGGGCCTTTTCACAAACACTTAAAGAGGAACACTCCAGGCACCAAAACATAATCTAAAATGAAGTGTTTATGGTGTCAGGAGGCCCTCTTACATTCAGTGGTTAAACCGTTTTCGAACAGTTTAACACCAAATTTGCCTCAACCACCGGTCTCAGCCCTCCCCTGGCGGCATCTGGCTTCTGAGTTGACGCTCTAAACCAATCAGTGACTCCCCATTCACTAAACTGGCTTGGAAAGAAACGTACCTTTCTCAAGCCAGTTTAGTGAGTCACTGATTGACTTTGAGCGTCGGCTGACCATCAGCCAATCCGTGCTTCCTGTAAGTGAAAATTCAGAAGCCGAATGCTGCCAGGGAGTTTGCTGAGACCAGCGCTGAATGAGAAACTTCAGGGTTAAACTGTTCGAAAATGGTTTAACCCTTGAAGGTTAGATTTCTCCTGGTAGACTCGTAGCATCACAACTTAATTTAGATTAAAGTTGTTCTGAAGCCTATACAGTCCCTTTAAATAAGATAAAGTGGCTTTGGTTCTTAGTTTCATTTAAATCACAATCACTATTCTTATTACTAAATAATTTTTTCATATAAATGCATAGCTGTCAAAAGCCACCTATTGTAATCAGCATGACTTTTTTGTAGAAATGGCAACAAGGTCACAGAGATAACATGTAAGATATCTTCTTTATAGTCATCTGTCAAATTACTATTACATAGATTTCAAATGACAGAATAGATTTGCTTAATCCTGGAACTACAGACGCTGCAAGTGTGACATTGCTAAATGTCACCAATGCCAAGAGTTAGGGACACATGGGAAGCAACACATTTAATTTGGAATGGGCTGAATTAATTTCAAAGCAAACACACAAGAAACCAATTTTCCATCAATCCACCAGTCTGTCAAAAGAAGTGTGTGTGTTCTTGACTAGCAATGTTCTCATGGCTGCTAAGGTTTTATATTTACATAGCCACTAAATAATTTTAAATAAATACATTTTTAAAAGTATCAATAGCTTAATCATATATTGTTTGTATAGAAAATCATAAAGAGCCCAGATGTTTAAAAATGTAGGCTTATTAAAGTGATTTTGGTGCATTGATGCTATATATTTTTTACCTTTGGACAAAACCACTCCACTAGTGGCCGCCAGCCTGCTGTTGTAGTTATGATACACTGTGCAATCTCATGCACCCCTTGGAAGCTCCTGCAGTGAGCTATGGTGCCTAGCTAGAGGAAGACTCCAATGGATTTTTTAAACAATTTAGTAGATACAAACCAAAGCAAAACATGCATTAATTGTTGCATTTCTTTCATTGTGGGTACATCTAAAAACAACATGTAAAAGCCCTGTAAAACATCTGTATGTATTTATGTTTAACCTGTTCCCAAGCATGGCCAATAGGATTTGCAAAGTGATATCAAGGCTAGCTAGACAATAATTGTTGATGAGTAGCATGGTACACATTTTATAAATGAGAATATAGTCCCTTAGACTAGCTAAAGAACAGGTTAAATGTGAATCCAGAGAAGCAATTATACTGCATGTAACTAAAACTAATTTGAAAATATATCAAATTTAAAATCAAGGTGAGGTTCCACAAAACCAGAAGCAAGTTTAAAAAGCTATTTCAGGTCTCCCTTGTGGCGCTCACAATATGGCAATAACGAGCCTGCATCACGGTACAATCACAGATTCCCTACAAAGCCTAGAACAAATCTTCCTGCGCTTCTGAGAGAGACAGCAAGAACGTGCTCAGGCGAACCAGACAGAGCACCAAGACATCCGAGCAAAGAGTGAGCAGTGCTGCAAACAGCAGGAAGTGAGTGGGCCACCCTTGGTCACACCACCGGTACAAGCACATACCGTCAACCTTCCAGGCCCACCCGGGCTGAAGGCCACAAGAGCACGGACCCAGAGGCATCAACTACACAAGCGGAGGCGCTTGCTCCGCAAGAAGCATCAGAACACCAAGCCCCCCGGCACTCCCACACGTGGAGGCAACTTGGACTTTATCAGACACCAGATCAGCGTTAAAAAGATGCAGGCCTACACGCCAGCCTTGGGCTGGAGGGACACCCTCATTCACATCTGTGCAATTGCGGCCCTCAGAGGCCTGCCGACGGGCTCCAGCTGTATCCCAACGGAGGTAATCGTATAACAGAGACGGTCACAAGCATGCAACCTCGGGTCTCTAGCACTCTCAACATTGTGCCCATATACACCAAACACAGACACATGGATCCAACCAACCATGTTTACCACACTTGGGGCTTAAAATTACCTTGTATTCATGCTCCGGACTCCAGTGCAACGCAATTATCAGCATAGCCTAGACAAGTTATTAAATAAAAAATATCCTGGTTGATTTACATGTCTAGCTAGCCTACCACTTTACCTACTAGCATACTTGCATATAGCTAGGACATGAAAGCCTGACAAATTCATAATTATAAAATTGTGCACATTTTTCCATGTGTCTCAATGTTCTATATATGTTGATTAGCTTGTGGATTGCTGTTGGGGCACCTCAAGCATGTTGTACACTTTTGCACTGCAAAAATATAAAATAAATTAAAAAAAAAAAAAAGAAGCTATTTCAGGCATGCCTTTGAGAGATCAGCTACACAATTACAAACACTTACAGAATTCATGTTGTCTAAATACAGATGTTACAGTTTAACATTAGAGCAATATTTTTTTTAAGTCTGCTCATGTTTTTCACAGAAACAAATTTCAGATATACAAGCATAAAACAGTAAAGGACATATCTTTGTTTTCAACAAGTCACAGTAACTCATCAAAAATAGGAAAGAAAAGACTACATCATCATAAATTATGTAAATCAAGTCTAAGTTCTTATACTATGAAACATGTATACTGTAATTGTTACCAAAAAACAAGCTAAAGTGCATTTTCAGAATTAATTTAATTGTACAGCATGCACGTGGAGGAAAGCTTGTTAAAGGGACACTATAGGCATTCGGACCACTCAATGAAATGGTCTGTGTGCAGTGCCTTGGCGTTTTGACAGTAGATGGTGCTTTTGCATCTGCAACTAATTTAGACTCATTGCATGAGGACGTTGAAGGTCAGATCTGCACAATGCATGCAGCTCCAATGCTTCTCACATAAAAAACACTTCTGTTAGAAGCATTTGACTGGATAGGAGCAGCGCTTGCGGCGCATTCGCTTCTCATCCACAATCATTCATTATGCATTTGATGAAAACAATTTAAGAGGAGTAAGACAAGTGGGGACTGAATAAGAAAAGGGTTATTTTAAATCAAACAAAGGGGGAAGGGTCACTTAAAAAAAAAAAAAAACTAACTGTAGTTTTGATTTAAAGAAGTTAAAAACTAAATACTATTTAACTTAATAGTGCTCATTCTGCACGTAGCTTCACTTGCAAAAAAATTTTTTTTTTTTTTTAAATAATTTTCAGCAAATTAATATACATGCAGCCGCTATCTCTTATGTATTTTCATGAATAAAAAAACCTTTTGGTTGCTGATCTACATATCTCACATACACTAACTGACAAGGTAGTAATTGGAGAAGCACTGCTTTGTTACTTAAAGGGAAACTCCAGTGCCAGGAAAACAAACCCACCCCCCAATTGCTGCTGCTTCTTCCTCCGCCGCCGCTCCTCCCTGTGATTGCATCGGCCGGTGGGCGAGACTGATCCCGCCCACCGGCCGGGGAGACCTAATGCACATGCGCGGCAATGTCGTGCATGCGCATTAGCGCTCCCCATAGGAAAGCATTGAAAATGCTTTTCAATGCTTTGCTATGGGGAAATGAGCGACGCTGGAGGTCCTCACATAGCGTGAGGACCTCCAGCGACGCTCTAGCACAGGTCTTCTGTGCTGTGGACAAGGAAGTGCCCTCTAGTGGCTGTCTAGTAGACAGCCACTAGAGGTGGAGTTAACCCTGCAATGTAATTATTGCAGTTTATAAAAAAACTGCAATAATTACAGTTGCAGGGTTGAGTACTGGGAGTTGGCACCCAGACCACTCCAATGAGCAGAAGTGGTCTGTGTGCCTGGAGTGTCCCTTTAATACCACAGGAGAGTCAAGATTGGCTGGGGAATTTCAGCCATTTCCTGGATCTCTTAAGAAGTAGCATCACATAATGGAATTTCAAGTATGTTTTTTACCTGCTTAATTTTTCTTTTATTACGTTAAAGAGTGTCAGCTCCAGGCTGGAAACTTCCTTTAACATTTTAAATTGAGAAAATTAAATTCACAGTCCAAGAATAACCACTACATTCTAATGTAGTGGTCAGGGTGCTATTAGGCAACAGATGATGTCTCCTCGTTCTGGGTGAAACCATTTTTTTAATAGTTAGACCAAAATCAGGGTTCTGAGTCAGCAAAACTCTCACAATCAAGACATTTTCCCACACTATTATTTTAGCCTACAATTGTAGTCAGTTCTAGACACCTCATAACTGCTTATTTAGAAAATTTCAATATTTCAGTTTATATGTGAGAAATCAGTCTTTAAAAGCTGGTAATAAATATGTAATTGTTAGATCATGTGTAGCCTTAGTAGCATTAAAGTAACACTATAGAGTCAAGAACAAAAACATGTGTTCCAAAACCCTATGGTATTAAAAACCACCATCTAAACACCCTCCCTCATCCCCCATCAGGGGCAGAGCCAGCACAAGCCAAACACAGCCATGGCCAATCAGTATCCCTCGATAGAGATGCATTGCATCAAAGCATTTCTATTAGGAAGGTTTAGTGTCCATGAAGAGGGTGGAGACACTATTTCAATACTGTATAGCATGCAGCACTGCCCCAGGAAGCACCTTTAGAAGCTGAGGAGTGACCAGTGGAGGGATCACTAGGCTGTAATGTAAACACAGATTTTTCTCTGAAGTCTGAAGGCAATGATTCTACTCAACAGAATAAATACAATAAGCTGTAGTCATTCTTGTGATTATAGTGTCACTATATGTTTATTGGGAGAGTGTTTTCTAACTTTTGTGGTCAAGGTAAACTAGATGCAATTTGCTCTTTTGCTTCTCAATAGTCACAGGCTTACTGCAAATCTCATAATGTCCCATAGGAAAGATCGTAAGCTCAATTATTTTTAATAAATATTAACATAGAGTTTCGGAAGCTCATTTGAGCAAGATCTTAATCTCTTATTCCTGCTTGTCTAAAGCTTATCTTTGTGTCAAATATTTTGTTTACTCATTTTACACTGAACAGAACGTGTTTCCTCTTTAAATATAGAAAATAATTTATCTACTTACAGTACCATGTGCTCATTTTGGAACGGAGTGTGGCATGTAGGCTGGGCTTTTGGAATCCCTAAGTTATATACCCTTGGTTCCTAACCCCTGCTATTTCAGCGGGTCTCCACAAAGTTGCATTCATTGGCTGAGAGCAGTCAGCTGACACTACCAGCAAATAAAGAGCTGACGAGATCAGCATCTAGTTTCAGAAGCTGAATGAATATCACTGAGACTCCGTTTTCAGCAAGAGGACAAACCACTTCAAACAATTTGCCCCATTACCAGAAGGGGGCCAGGGTACTTCTGGCATCATAATCATCACATCAAGGTTTAGTGGTTATGGTGATGTATCCTTTTAAACATTTCATTTCAACTTAATAGGTAACTTTTCCCAAATCCAAAACATGGATCTTACCTGTTATCTGCCTTATTTTGGATTAGAGGAAAGTGACCTATTTTTCAAATTAAAATGAAATGCTTTAAGGGACACTCCAGTGCCAGGAAAACAATCAGTTTTCCTGGCACTGCAGGTCCCCTCTCCCTCCCACCCCCGGTAGCTGAAGAGGTGAAAACCCCTTCAGTCACTTACCTGAGACCCCCGCCGCTCCTCCTCGGCGGTGGTTGCTGCTTGCCGTTGCTCCTCCTCTTCCTTAAGTCAGCCGGTGGGCGCATTAGAGCTCTTCATAGGAAAGCATTGAAAACTTTTTCAATGCTTTCCTATGGGGAATTGAGCAACGTGAGGACGTCCAGCGAAGCTCTAGCAAACCTGTGCTATGGAGCAGGAAGTGCCCTCTAGTGGCTGTCTAGTAGACAACCACTAGGGGAGGACTTAACCCTGCAAGGTAATTATTGCAGTTTATAAAAAAACTGCAATAATTACACTTGCAGGGTTAAGAGTAGTGGGAGTTGGCACCCAGACCACTCCAATGGGCAGAAGTGGTCTGGGTACCTACAGTGTCCCTTTAAATGCATCTTAAAGGGTTACAACAATCACCATAACAACTACAGCCTGATGTAATGATTATGATGCCAGAAGTGCCCTGGCCCCATTTCCTAATAATGGGGCAAATTGTTGGCAGCGATTTGGCCCCTTGCCGGACACTAAGAGTATTCGTTGGTCCTTGCTGTACACAGAGTCCTCTTTGGTCAGTAATACGCATGCAGCTTCTGCAGAAGCTAAATGCTGATCCTGTCATCCATATATTGGACGAGAGTGTCAGCTGACTGCGCTCAGCCAGTTAACTTTGTGCATAGAAATATGCACAGAATGAACCATAGCCATCCTGAAACTCTTCCTGTGGTAATCTGAAAATGCGAGAGGTGAAGTTACACATCCGCCAGCAAAAGGGGTAAAACGCCAAATGTGCACAATTTCTGGACTTACACATTCCAGGCACTTCAAATCACTAAACTGGTACTGTGGCTAGGAGTAACCTTTTAATTTTGTGTCAGAGGGGTTCTCTATAGCTACAGTAAACTGTTTATTGCAGACAGTTGCCTAGGGTGATGAAGAATATGATGTGCAACCACTGGAGACCTGCAGGGGGTTATGGACACATTACTGTTACTGATAGCTTAGCAGTCTAGAACTGGGACATCCAACACTCGCACCCCAAATGTTTGGGAACTACCACTCCCATCATGCTTAGCCTTGGGCAATGCAAATATCTGGAGTGCCAAAGGCATGGCTCAGACTGGGTAGACACAGTGTGCTAAGTGTCCCTCCATCTCCCGGGCTGTCACCCCACACACAGCCTCTCTGCCTGGACCCTGAGACCTCCTCTCACTGTCACACTGTCCATCCACCTTCCCAGAGATCACTCCGCCCTGGCCCTGGCACAGTGTCCCTCCGCCGGCCCCAGCTCACCTCTTCCACCTCTATCTCCTTGTAGTCGATCTGCTCGAAGTTCAGCACGGGGGGAGTCTCGATCATGTCAGCGGAGGCGGCAGACATACCGTGCCTTGCCCGACAGAGAAAGCTCCTCTCCGGTGAGAGGTGTGGGGGCACAGCCGGGGGGGAGTGTTGGGGCTACCGGACTCGCAGGGAAGAAGGTCCGGGGCCGGAGCCACAGTACTCTGTGGGATTCACTGGCGGCCCCGGCCCGGCGAGGACCAGCTCAATCCTGGCTGTGACCCCAGGCTCCGCCCGGTACGGAATGACCCGAGGGAAACCAAGGGAGGAGAGTCGGGGCCACCGCAGCGCTGACACACTGCCGAACCGACCATACATGTAGCGCAGGAGTCAGCGCAGGCCGGGAGCAGACTGGCGGTGAAACGGGGGCGGGGTCTCGCTCGTGACGTAAGCCCTTGAGGGGAGAGAGAGAAAAAAAAAAAGTGACACCAATTTTTTTTTTCACTCAGCTTTATTGTAAATAATAAAAAAAATAAAAAAAAAATACAATGGTTCATAGAAGTTGGTATGTTATGGTCTGGTGCAGAATGAAATAACTTTCATGGAGATAATAAAATGTTCTGCTGCAGTTTTGCTTTGATGATATGCATGTTTTTTTTTTGTTTCTTTCTTTTTTTGCAGAGGATTGGTCAACCACCCATCCCTTGAAAAATTAGTATTTCATAAATATTTAATCTTTATGAAATACTCATACTGACTGTGTTGGAATTTTACTGAAATTCCAAATCAGTCAAGAGAAATACTGAGAGTCCTTCATACCGATCAGATGGCGCACGACAGATGTCCCAACCATACAACATTGGATTGACAAGGTTGATAACTTATATGACATGGAAACACTGACAGCCTCAGCACAAATGTGGTTTCCGTGGCCGGACTGTATCGCATGATGCCCAATTGCTAGACAGCTTTTCTGTTTGGTTGGTAGAGTAGAGATACCATTAACTTGCCAGGACAGTTATATTACACTTATGAGATGCCTACGCATGCCATTGACTTGGGATATACTTCAATATGTGAGGAGGCTCCTGGTGGGTCGTAGGTGTAGGTGATGTGGGTTACTATGGGATCCTACACCACACTTTGTGTATTTGACCAACGAGACTGTTGGTTACATAACGGCTCAGTTGATCCTATGTGAGACTGACCATAGACAAGTAAGAGGTAGCTCGTATGTGACAGAGATGCCCAAATTCCTCAAACAATACCTCATATTGTTACCTCCATTTCTATTATTATTATTATTGCCATTTCTTTAGCGCCGACAGATTCCGTAGTGCTTTGCAATTTTATAACAGTGGGGGATTTAAATATAAATAGGACAGTTACAAAAAACTTACAGGAAAGATAGGTTGAAGAGGACCCTGCTCAAACAAGCTTACAGTCTATAGGAGGTGGGACAGTTTACGTTCTCGCATTTCAATTCTAATGGATCACCTGAATGTTATATGTACCAGACATCCGAACATGCAAAAATGCATTTCAGGGAGGTGATTTTACTAGCCAACGTGCCCCCCCACCCTTCCACACACACAAACACAGGCACCAAACATGTATAGACACCTTGACACACAAATACACGCACTTGTGCATGCACAAACACTCAGATACACATTGACACACATTGAAATACAAATACTGTTACATACACTCAGATGCACACAGTGACACACACTCAGATACACAAACTGGCACATACACTCAGATACACACTGACATGCAGATACATACACATTGAGACACACACACACAATCAGATATGCACACTGACTCACACTCAGATACATACAGATACTCACACTGACAAACACATTCAGATATACACACTGGCACATACACACAGATACACACACTGACATACAGATACACACTGGCACATGCACACTCAGATACACACTGACATGCAGATACATACACATTGAGACACACACACACAATCAGATATGCACACTGACTCACACTCAGATACATACAGATACTCACACTGACATGCACATCAGATACACAAACTGGCACATACACTCAGATACACACACTGACATACAGATACACACTGGCACATGCACACTCAGATACACACTGACATGCAGATACATACACATTGAGACACACACACAATCAGATATGCACACTGACTCACACTCAGATACATACAGATACTCACACTGACAAACACATTCAGATATACACACTGGCACATACACACAGATACTCACACTGGCTCATAAACACACACTCAAGTACACACTGACACTGAGACTACTTTGTCACTGTATATATAATTGGCCTGACACGTCTAGACACTTGGCAAAGCTTATGCCGTCTAGAAGTGTCAATCCTACCCCCAGCCATTACATGTGATGGCTGCAGGGAATTTGCTTTATCTATGGAGGATCTTGGGGGAAACTCCATAGATCTCAATACTGTACTCTTGTGCATGTGCAAGAGTACAGCAGTGATGTTGGCTCCTGACGCTGAAGAGGATCCCCCGGAAGAAGTTGAGGTTCAGGTGAGTAAAACTCACTTTTGCCTGCTCCACCCAGGCAATTGGCAGCAGCGATGTCAACTGGGGTCTATGCAAATTTTGCAAAGTCTCCAGACAATTTAATACTTAGGTCAATCATCACTAAAAATTGATTATTTACTCATGGCTCCCAAGTGTTTAGGAGGAACAGTCCAAATTGTCCACCCAAATCCCTTTGTCCTTCTTTTCTAAAAGGTCACCATTTTGGTGTTTCTGAGTATGTAATAGAGTGTTTAGAAATCTGTCTGTGTTAATAAAATGCATTCTTCTTGTTATAAATGGAAATTTCCGATGCATAAATTGTTATTAGTAAATCACCAAGAAATTTCTCAAAGCAGCCCGTCACTGGTGACATTCCCACCCTCCCCTTGCAAAGTTATTAAGTAGCTAAATGGCAGCATAGCTCAATTCAGAATTTTGTGAATAGGCCTTCTAGATTTTAAAGGGTTACTCCAACCGAAAATACAGTGCTCCACCCGCGCCCCGAAAAAGTAATTATCTAAAACTTACCTCTGTTCCAGCGCCAAGGCCAAGTTCTCCCCGCAACTTAATCCTTCACTCCTCTAAAACATCACCCCTTGTATAATATATGCCCCATGTATAAATAGGGGCATGAATTCTCGGGATGAAAATATAATTTTTCCTCTTAATAAATCGCTGGTAAGGGCAAATATACAAATATATTCTAGGGTCAAACCATTATCTGGAAATCTGTTCATAAACAGGGCAATACATAGGACACAAGGTCACACATTTAGGCTGGAAGAAAGGAGATCTAAGGCAAAGGAAAGGTTTTTTTTACATTAAGAGCAATAAGGATATGGAATTCTCTGCCTGAAGAGGGGGTCCATACAGATATTTAAACTGCAATTGGCTAAATACTTACAAAAACATAACATACAGGGATATATTTTCTAATTAGTGGGGTAATAGCTGCTCGATCCAAGGAGACATCTGACTGCTATTTTGGGGTCAAGAAGGAATTTTTTCCTAGTTTGTTGCAAAATTGAAAGCGCTTCAGACTAGGTTTTTTGTCTTCTTTCAGATTAACAGCAAAAACATATGTGAGGAAGGCCGAACTTGATGGACGCAAGTCTCTGTTCAGCTATGTAATGATGTAACTATGTAACCCCCACCTTGAGGTGGAGGAATGCCGGGAGCATGACCAGGGCCGCCATCAGGAGGTGACAACCATAACGGTTGTCATGGGCCCGGCGGTCCTGGGGGGCCCGGACTGCTTTGGTCACTATATATAGGTGCAGCCGCGGGCCCCCCCGGCTCCCTATACTTGCAGAGGGGGCCCAGCGGACTGCAGCTGTACTTTATAGCATTTCCCTCGCTCTAACTCTTGCGGGGAGTTAGAGCGAGGGAAATGCTGTAAAGTACAGCTGCAGTCCGCTGGGCCCCCTCTGCAAGTATAGGGAGCCGGGGGGCCCCACAATGCCACCGGACCACCAGGGATCAAAGAATCTTCCCCCCCTCCCTGAACCAGGTAAGAAACAGGGAGGGGGAATAACCGTTATTACATTACATGCATACACTACTAAACACACACACACACACACACACACACACACACTGCATTCATTACACTAACACACACACTGCATCCACTACACTGACACACACACTGCATCCACTACACTGACACACACACTGCATTCATTACACTAACACACACACACTGCATCCACAACACTAACACACACACTGCATTCACTACACTAACACACTGCATCCACAACACTAACACACACACTGCATTCATTACACTAACACACACACTGCATCCACTACACTAACACAGACACTGCATTCACTACACTGACACACACTTTGCATTCACTACACTGACAAACACACTGCATTCACTACACTGACACACACACTGCATTCACTACACTAACACACACACTGCATTCATTGCACTAACACACACTCTGCATTCATTACACTGACACACACTCTGCATTCATTACACTGACACACACACTGCATTCACTACACTAACACACACACTGCATCCACAACACTAACACACACTCTGCATTCACTACACTAACACGCACACTGCGTCCACAACACTAACACACACTGCATTCATTACACTAACACACACTGCATCCACTACACTAGCACACACACTGCATCCACTATACTAACACACACACTGCATTACACTACACTGACACACACTGCATTCACTACACTGACACACACACTGCATACTACACACTACCACTAACCACACACACTTTGCATTCACTACACTGACACACACACTGCATTCACTACACTGACACACACTCTGCATTCACTACACTAACACACACACTGCATTCACTACACTGATACACACACTGCATTCACTACACTGACACACACACTACATCCACTACACTGACACACACTCTGCATTCATTACACTAACACACACACACTGTATGCATTGCACTAACACATCCACTGCATTCACTACACTATCACACACACTGCATCCACAACACTGACACACACACTGCATTCACTACACTATCACACACACTGCATCCACAACACTAACACACACACTGCATCCACTACACTAACACACACTGCATTCATTACACTAACACACACACTGCATCAACAACACTAACACACACTCTGCATTCACTACAATAACACACACTGCATTCACTACACTAACACACACACTGCATCCATTACACTAACACACACTCTGCATCCACTACACTAACACACACACTGCATTCACTACACTGACACACACTGCATCCACTACACTGACACACACACTGCATTCATTACACTGACACACACTCTGCATTCATTACACTAACACATACATTGCATTCATTACACTAACACTCACTGCATTCATTGCAGTGGCATGGAGGGCCCACACCTTGTGCTTTGTCAGGGGCTCCAAACTTTCTGGTGGCGGCCATGAGCATGACTGAAAGGAAAACGTGGGTGGCATGGAAGAGGGTTGTTCTGCTATTGGATACCTGTCACCCGCATGCTGTATGTACTGGTGACAGACATTCAATAAGTACAGAACTGAATTGTTCTAGGCTGGCTAATGAGGGCTCAATGATGCTGCGGAAGTGGGAGGTGCTGCATTGTCTAGTGAAGCTTTGTCCCTGCAGTTGTTAAATCATGGCTTAAACCAACATATTAAACATCAAAAAGATTAGCAAGTATATACAAATAATGTAATCTACAGTAAAAATTAAATATCTGATAAAATGCACTCCAGAGCATGGGGGAAGAAATTCTCTCCTGGTGACAGGCCACAGGGGTGCAAGACGCATCCCTCTTTCTAAAAGATGGCACCCACCTAATGATGAATTGGTGGAAGGGGTGCTGTACGTTAGGGAGCTACATTACAGAGCTGCAGGGACCTGGGCAATCAATAGAGAGATCCCAGCAACAAACCACTGGGCCACATGGCTGAGATTTCACGCCAGCTCCCTGTCAAGGTAAGAAAAGTGAGGATGTTGGAACTCACTGTGAAAAATAACATGTGCATATGACCTTATGTTTATATATAAATGTGTGTGTATGAGTCTGTTGTCTTGTGTGTATATGAGGGTGTGTATGTTTCCTTGGAGCTTTGGGGCCAGGCCCTTCAAAACCGAACTGTGGTTTTTCACATGGCCAACATGAGTGTTGTCCATGGGATAAATTGCTCCTCCTCGAGTTCTCCCCCAGAACTGGTCCTGTTACGCCAGTTGGTTTTTCAAAAAAATAGGCTGAAACACTGTTTCATATTCTCCCTTTTATCTTATATGGTTATTTTTAAGAGACAAAAATAGGTCTCAACAGGAGTCCCCCACTGGATGACGTCGGCGGGGGAGGGGCGAGGGCGGACCCTGACCCAGCACCGAGGGACATCAGCGCTGGATACAGGTAAGTCACTGAAGGAGTTTTAACCCCTTCAGCAACTTGGGATGGAGGGTGGGAGGGAGAGGGGACCTGCAGTGCCAGGAAAACGGTTTGTTTTCCTGGCACTGGAGAGTCCCTTTAACATTGAATACCTTGTGAGAGAGATCTCACTCTTTATGCCGGGACTAATTGAACATTGTCGCGATCTGGCAGTACTCTAAACGACACTGCATTTCATACGTGCGTTTCACCGAGACGTAGGGGGAAGTGACGTCATACGTTCAAACTGGAAATGACGTCCCGCGAACAAAAGATTGTATACAGATGTTCGTGGAAGATGGGGGATATAAAAGATGAGCATTAGGACTCATTCATCAGCACTGGAAAAAGGATTATCCAACCGAAACGCATCTGCTGCATCTGTTTATTATTTTAACAAAGACTGTCATACTTCTGGTTATTGTTTTTGGTGGTGAGTAGATCATTTGTTGTTGTTTTTTATCAGTTGATCTTTGATTCTCAGTTCCACTCCTACTCTATTAGGTAACTTGAGTTTTATATGTAATACTTTAATAAAATTAATTTTAACTACATATTTGAAGTCCCATCTTCTGCTACCTGACAAGTGGAGACCTAAGCCCGAATTGGCACCCTTGAGCCTGTTATACAGAGCCTGGTATGGCTCTGGACCATGTGAGTGGTAGTCCTATATTTATTCTACACTTATTGTTTTTTACAGACACGTGTTGTGTCTTATTTTTTTATTTTAGGTACTCTCTACTATTATGTCTGTATATGTTTGTATTACTTATTTTATATTTATCACTGGGATTTGTGTACACACTGATATATTTGTATTCTTGGTACTAAATAAACATTTAGTCCCACTGACTCCTTTACATCCCATTAAAAAGTTGATTTTAGTCATCTTTTTTCAGCTTTGCGTGGGTCCATCACAACTGGCCCAGACAACGCTCTGCCCCTCTGGCTGAGATCGTCAAACTTGATTATCCCAGCCAATCCAATGCTTTCCCACAGGAAAACATTGAGAGGCTGTCATGCCTGCGTGGCAAAACGCTGCTTTGCGCCAAACAGCATCTCCTCTTAAAGATGCATTGACACAATGCATCTCTCTGGGAAATGTTCAGCACCTCCAAGCAGAATGTGGAAGCTATAAATGTCTCCATCTGACCCAGGAAGCACCCGTACTGGCCTCTTTTCTTTGAAAAGGAGGTGTTTACATTTAAAAGCCTGCAGGAGCAGGCTATAGACAGCAGTACAACTACATAAAGCTATAGCGGTTCTGGTGGCTATAGTGTCCCTTTAATTATTTTGGCAAAAAAAATAAAAAACATTATTTATTTAAAAAAAACTAAGAAGATATTTAAAATGCTGTAAATGTCACAAGCATCTAGAACAGGGGTTCTCAACGTTAGTCCTCAGGACCCCCTACCAATCCAGGGTTTAGGGATTACCTGGGTGTGTCTAAGGTGTTTAGAAAAAGACAAAAAAAACACCTTAGAGTCTAAGGTGTTTTTTTCCCTTTTTCTAAACACCTGAGAAACACCCAGGTAATCCCCAAATCCTGGACTGGTAGGGGGTCCTGAGGACTGGGTTGAGAATCCCTGATCTAGAAGATTGAGGAATCGGTAACAGCAGGACTGAGGTGAGATTGATTAATATGTGGTTAATATAATGCTGGTAGTTAGATTCCTGACAGATGACTATGTCTGTGAGCATACTGATGTATTAGGGAGAATAAGAAATCTAATTTTTGTATAAGCATAAGCCTGCTTATTAGAGCTGATGGAATAAAATGTATATTTTACTGTTTTATTTTCTATATTTTAACACCAACATGCTTGCGATTTGTAGATTTCAGTACTTTTTCTGTTTTATCAGGGAAGGGGAGATGCAGTTCTGTAGCCCATACATAAATCACAGCTATCCCTATTTATTGATTTATTCAATAAAAATACACTTTAATAGTGTTACACAGCAGCATCTCAACTAATGAAGGTCACTCGAGAGTATCTCAGAAGATTGTACAGTCATTTGGGAAACAAGACTTTAAGGAGCCAATTTATCATGCACATTTTTTAAACTGAACAAAAATGTGTTCGATGTTCTCAAGCTAAATGAGTAGAAAATGCAGTCCTCAGACACTAAAAAACAGACATAAATGGTATTTTGATAAAAGTCATTATTATGAATTGCTATTACTATGGCAACCGGTAGAAAATAAATGGGTGCAGTATGTCTACTGAATATAATGATAACTTTTCTTGATTTTTATTCCCTTGAAATTTGAAGTTAAAAAAATAAATCTGTGCTTGGTTTAAAAAAGTTAATGTTTTGAAAACTGGTAGAAGATGCAAAAAGTAAAACAAAACCCAAGGCATCTGTTATACTGATTCCAGTAGATGAAGTACTTTAGTGGTTTTGAGACAGTGTAGAAAATATATCACTGTAAATAGTAATCGTGGCAGCTTAGTAACATTTTCAAAGAAAGTACTCTGCTCACCTTCAGCAAGCAATCATTCTTCTAAATGAATCTGTATCCTCATCAAGATGCTAAGAATATATACTCTATAAAGTATTTTCGGTGAAGCCAATTGCCTGCTCATCTTGAATAAAATCCATCAAATATAACTGCTCCATTAGGGACCACAACAGCCTTGTCAACTATTTAATAACGTGTCATGTTTCAAAGCTAAAATATATATGATACATTCCCTAGTATAACAGTTTATACTTCAAAACAGCTAGAACTGAAATAATAAACAGAAACAATATAAAAAAAAAATGGCCTAGATTTATCAAACAATGCAATGTTATCTTCTGGCTGAAAATCTCTAGTAATTTTAAGTGATACCTTGAGACTGATTTATAGACCCACTGACAAATAAGTCTGTACAATGGCATAGGATTAAAAAAAAACATTTGGTCATGTAATATAAATTGACGGCATGTGATAAAGCTACGGATATTTCACATATCTGAAAACTAGTACTAGCTGGTGTTTTGTTTGTGCCTTAATAATAAAGCAATTTCACCTGTAGAAGATTTTAATGTAAAATACAGTGCGACCTCGGTTTACGAATTTAATGCGTTCTCCGGGACGTTTCTTATTGTGAAACATTTGTAAACCGAAATACGGTTTCCCATAGGAATTCATTGAAAACCAATTAATCCGTTCTGGAGGTCAGAAAAAAAGTCAAAATGAGCTGGCATGGAAACCAACCCACAATGCTGAACACACAATAAAAGGCATGCAAACGACAAAGCTCAACCCTACCTTTCCACAGCTTGAAAAATGCACCAAAAAGTCCCAAAACAACTGAAAGCAATTTCCAGAATGGCTCCAAAACTCGATGCAAAAGCCGCTCCAACACCTCCACACTCGACGCCACATGCTACCCACAGGCTCCAGCATGCAGGGGGCAGTGCTATAAACCTCCCAGGTGCAATGCATCCTGGGGAAAATTGCTTCGTATTGCGAAAAAAAAATTTAAACCGAGGCATTATTTTCAATGGATTTTCATTTGTAAACCGAGAATTATGTTAACCGAGGCGTTTGTAAACCGATGTCCCACTGTATACAACTGTAACTAAAGCTCTTCAGGTGAATATCAAATTAACGTGGTAGACATCAGTGTGTTTCTCCAAGAGACTGGCATACTTTGGGAAATGCTGCATTGCACACCACTCAATAATTGAACTGCATGATTTCCGGGAAAAATAGGCCACAGTTGATTACCGCTAAACCTAGATGGAGTAGCTCGAGAAATCCAACAGAAGTACAGGAATTACATGAAAAATCACATATAATGAGTGCGATTGACTTTTGACATTGATGTTAACACATTAATTGTTTAGTGCTTCAATCTTTAGGTTTGGTTTCAAGTAAGTTTAATTTGTTTTTAGTATCTTTGAGAAGGAGGAACACATATAATTTAGGGGAGAAGTTAATAGCTGCCTTCTCTACGTGAGTGAAGGGAAAACTTAACTTTATTCTTGTATGACACTATTCCTAGCCTGTTACACCACCCCGTGTTCCATATACATTTTCATGTCTCACCACCTACCACCATATTTGTTTTTAGTGCTTGCTGAGCATTTCAACTTATTAACCAAATTAAATAAGTGATCCCCATGTTACAGAACACATTCTCAATGAATGTAAAATTTGGCCAACTCTCCCCCTCTGGTAGTCCGTCATATATGTATTGAGGCTCTGTCTTTTAGTCCCTTGACAAGTGTAAAAGTGTAAACATTGCCATTTCGCACTTTCAAAGAAGACATTTTTGATTATAATTGCTAGCAGTTTTCCAAACACACTGTTGTACAGATGTAAGATGTATTCATGTTCCAAGAAATATGTATTGAATCATCAAGTAATATTTATTATGTAGTATCAGTGCAGAAATGTTTGCAGTATTAGTTCTAAGGTCTCTCTACACAAAGCTGGTGAATGTTTCTGAATTTGCCTTGGCCTTACTGATCATATTAAAATTATTAAAGCACCATATAGTGGCTCTCTAAGTGACAGCCACTAGAGGTGGTCAGAGGAAGCAAGGTAACAGTGTTTTCGCAGAAAAGGCAGCATCTATTTAAAGGAACACTAGCTAGTATCGTGTAGGTCCCCCTCATGCTACCAAAACATCTTTGATGCGCCACAAGACCTCTGAAAAATTCCTCCTTGACCCCAGAATGATAGTCAGATATCTCCTTGGATCAAGAAGCTATTACCCCACAAATTAAAATGATGTCCCTGAATATGTTTTTGCAGGTATTCATCCAGTGGCTTTTTAACACATCTGTACAGATTTTGATAAAACCTCCTCTTCTGGCAGACAATTCCTCATCCTTATTGTTACTGTAAAAAAACCTTTCCTTTGCTTTAAAATAAGTCTCCTTTCTTCCAGTCTAAATGCATGACCTTGTGTCCTATGTTTAATCCTGATTATGAATATATTTCAAGACAATGTACAGTGTATTAGCCACGAATATATTTGTATAATGCTATTATATACCCTCTGGGGTGCCGTTTTTCTAAACTAAACATATTTAAATTTGTTAGCCTTTCTTCGTAAAGGCTACTGCCCATATCCACTCACTACAGCCCCTATCCCCTTACTACTGTCTTTAACCCCCCTTACAGCCCCTAAATTCCACTACTGCCCTTATATCTCACTACACCCTCTAAACCCCACTATAGCCCCAATCTCCACCTAATGCCCTATTCCCCACCATATTTGGCTGAGGGGCAGCTAATTTGAACCTTCGTTCCCATTTTGTACTAAATGTAAATGTCACTACTTCCTATAAATATTTCTTCTTATGTGTATTGTGTCTGTATGACTGACTGTGTATCTGTATTTTTCAGAGTGTGTGTCTG